TCTTATCTGATTTTGACCATTCACGTCTCATTGGAAAGAGCGTACGTAGCGAAGAACGTACATGAGTGAAAATTTAAAAACGTACGTTTTCATGTCCCTGGCCTTTTACTTCGTAGATACTGGATTTGTAGTTTATTATTATGTGTTTTAATATTGTTTGGGACGGGGGCAACATGTTACACACATTTATTTGGTTTTAAATAGGTTCTAGGTATTTTTTTCGTATTTTTAAAGTCTCGAAATTCACGACCATGACGTGTCCCTAGGGTACATTTTCCAACTTTCACGCTGTTTTTAGACTAATTATTTATGCCGAAATATATAAAACCATATTTTTATGTCATCAATGGTTATTAAACTTACAAAAAAGGAGCATATTATAATTTTATTGTCATTGCAAACTGACTACCATGACAAAATAAGTCTGTCCCTCGATTTGGCGTCACGACCATTTGGGAAAAATTTTCTACTTTGGAGCACGACAGTGGCAAGCCTGGCGTCGATGGAGTCAGTTAGTTTTAGAGACTAGTTTGGGGTGTACGTCAGGATTGTAGTGCCGGTCGTTTCGAGTTGAAAGGAGGAATTACAAGATTAATAAAGGAAAGATTGTGTTTTTTGTAATTTTGGTGTGTCCATGACCGTACGTAGTCATTCGATGAAGTAGACATGGTGTTAATTTTTGTTTATAAGATATTTCAATTGCTAGATTAACCTAGAAGTCCACTTTGTATCCTCGAACATGAGGTGCAGGGCTACCGCCAGAACAGAGCCAAATAACACGTAATTTCACGACCAAAGTTTCACGACCATCGCGGGTTTTTTCACGACCAATTCAGCCTTATGGATTATAGTGTGTTTGGTCGTGACAATAACTTTAATACAATTGTAATTTGAACAGTTTAGTTCAATTTAAACACTTATTTTATTATAACTAACAGTATAATTGAAGGATTGTTTAGAAAGATTTAGATTATTTCAGAAAATTCACGACCGTACCGCTTGTTCCTGACCATCACGTTTATGATTTCTATCATAAAAATTTCAAAAATTAAAATATCGTCATATTTCGATGTTTTATTCACAAAAGAAGCACACCTCTATACAAACATAACGATTTTTCGGGTCTCAGGTAAGTTTTTTTGGAGTTATACAAACTTAAAAAGATTTTATTGGCTTTTTTCCAAATTTTTGAGTTTTTTTTATTTTTTTCTAGAAAGACCAAATATACCAAAAGCTCAGTGACCTTTTTATTGTATAATGGTCATAAAAGTTAATTAGTTTATAGCAAAACATAGTTATAAAAATAATATTAACTATTTTTAATATTCATTTAATTGTCTGTTATGGTCGTGACAGGATTTTGTGTTTTTCCACTAAAGATGCTCTTTTTTAAAAAAACAATACCAAAGATATTGCGTTACTATGGACATTTTATGAAACTTCAAATGTTAATGAAATAAAAATAATAATAAAAGTTTTGAAAAAAGGGGAAAAAATTTGCAAAGTGCTTTTCCTGAAAACGTACGTTTTTAAATTTTCACTCACATAGCGTTAGCAAACTGACCTTACATTTTTTTAAGTCTCTTGGGCTCTGCCCCAGTGGCTTTTAAAAGAAGAGATTAAAAGAATTATACGCTGATGGTTGCTTATTGTTATTTATATTGTATTGTTTCTGTTTAGCTATTTTTCTCTTTATTTATTTGTTAGTTTAGATTATTGTTATTGACAAAATTTATTCTGAAACGCAGTTGTACTTAGAAACGCTTGATAAATAAAGACATTTTATTTATTTATTTTTAAAAGTCTAATGGAAAAGTTACTAAACGTTTATATATTGTTCACCTGGTAACCAAAAGGTTGACAATTCGATCATAAAAAAATAAAATTCGGTGGCTTTTTGGTGGTTCCAAACTGGATCCAGCTGTCCTTGATTATTGGGCTTTTAATAAAATTGTTATGGCTAATTAAAGCTGGATTTATTCATTAACAAAGGTACAAAAGGCATCTCTACATCACTCACTACATTCTACACTCATCATTCACTCATGTTTGGGTTAAAATACACAACTAGGTCGCTATCTCAATTTGTAGATAATATAACAATAATGAAATTTACAAGCACTGCTTCGAGGATTTATTAAAGTAACTTAAAATTAAAGAGATGGGTTTCCCATCTCAATTGATGATGATAATCAACAATGAAGGCTCCTTACAAATTTCCGGCTAAAATAGTTTTATTGTTTGATTTTAAATTATATTTCCTTAAATTAAGTTGATATGCAACCGTATCGCTAAACATGCTTAATGACTTACATTCAGTTCAAAAATCCATAAAAAACATCATCATCAAGCAAAAGTGAAAACAACTAGGCCTAACAAAACATTAAAATATTGTGTTCATATTACACAGTAGAGTCCCGCAAACTCAGCGTAATGTGGACTGGAAGGGTGCCGAGTTTGTAAAATGCCGAGTTATCGGGAACTAGAGTTAAAGATAAGAGCAATAGAATTTTTAAGCTTTTTAACCACATTTTTCAATTAGATTTATCAATTATCAATTATTTTAAGATGGGGACGCCACTATGTGCGTATTTTAACCCAAATATGAGTGAATGATGAGTGTAGGATGAGTGGCGCGATCTTGTAGTCTTGTTAGTGACTAAGGCCGACATGTTCCTTAGACACAGCTGTTAATTAATAGCCCATACAGCTAATGGCAAGTAAGGGACCTACAGTTTATAGTGGAATCCGAACCACATTTTTCCTTGTAATTTACGAATTGGTCTAATTATCAGGATAGTACTGCGGATAGTCGTAGTGCTCACTAGTGTGGACGTTAATCCACACCAGGGAGCATCGCATCCACAGTGCATCCCTATAAATATCCACAATTAGATTTATATTACAAGTCAGTTATTGAGTCATCAGATATAGTACAACAAATCCTTAGTACGAGTTGCAAATGATTATTACTTGAGCTGGCTTGTGTCCATGTTTAACTCGGACTCAAAATCACTAATTTTCTGAGCCAGGTGATGGCCGAGTTATCCAGACTGCCGGGTTATCCAGTGCCGAGTTTGCGGGACTCTACTGTATTGTCATTGTGTAAGCCTTCTAATGTTTCTTCATGTTTTGTAATATGACTGAAATAATCATCATTAACACCCCTGAATAAACTGACGACTTCTTATTAGTGGCGAAGAAAATTTCAATCCACCCCCCCCCCCCCTCCCACAAAATATTCAACGGGTTCAATTCCCAGCACATCCACAACTCAAATGCTTTCCCTAAAAAGCTTTAAGAGCACACTGTTCATTGCCTCTCCTGTAAAAATACTGCTGACGCCGACATCAACGTCAAGGAAAAAATATGCTCCCAGATTCCCTTTTTGCACATAGAACAAAGACCCAAAACATGGGGAATAAGTAAATTTTTCCTTAAGCTGATTTTCCCCCCCAAAAATCGTTTGACATAGAAAATAACGTAAAATACAAAAGTTGTAGGATAATTTAATCCTGCAAAAATCGTTATCCCATCACATTTAAGATCCAAGCGTTGGGTCAGTTTAAACAGACCAAAATATATATACACTTACATAATCGAATTTCACCAGAAATAGCTTTCTCCAGGGGCCCTAAACTCCCCTCTTTAATTGAATAGTTTGTAAAGCCCCGTCTTATTGCACGTCTTAATCTTACAGGGGCCCCCTGGTACTAAATTAAATAGGCCTTTTAATTCATCTAGGTGAAATATTTTGTGAGATGGTGATTATCTATCATTCAGTGGTTTTTGCCTTAGTAGATGACGAATGAAATTTAAACATATCTTAGCAGAGGTTGTAGAAACATATTTTTGTTCAAAAATTCCATAGAGCCCAGTAGAGTATTTGGACCCATTAGCATCCAAGCCCACTCAACTCCTGCCCCTCCCTCCCCTTTTGGCGCAACTGAATATTCTATTTTAGAAAAATTTAAAGCAAAATTGGGGTCGAACAATCACCGTTTGTATAAGAACCGCAGCTGGAATTTGTATGATGCTTAGGCACATATAACTTACTGTATGTTGGGTCTAGTTGAACATATTTTCAATCAAATCTGCTCAATTATAATATTCAAGTTAATAATTTAGGTTGGTCCAAAACCTTCAAAATGACAGTTCATTCAAAGACTGTATTCAGAAATGCCACAATTTTTGTTAGATCTTACTAATATTATAAATCTGAAAGTTTGTGAGTTTGTGTGTATGTTTGTGTGTGTGTTTGTGTGTGTGTTTGTGTGTGTGTTGCTCAATCACACATAAACTACTGGACGGATTGGGCTGAAATTTGGCATGATGATAGCTCACATTCCCGATTAACATTAAAGCATATTCTTATCTCAAAAACCCTTTCGGGCTCCGCCCCAGTGGCTCTGTAGTTCCCCATGTTAATCTTATGATTTTTCAAATTTAAAAGGAATTAATGAATCTTAACAGCTGTTTCAATTAAACAAGTTGGTTCTGTTCTATGATGTTCAATAGCATAAAAGTTCCAAGGATTACCAACAGGGTGCAGCACTATTATTTTTTTTTAATTTATGACAACAGCTAATTTCCAACCAAAAGGTGAGTGAGCGTAGCGAACGAACTTCAACCTGGAGGCGAGTTAGCGTAGCGAACGAGCTAACCTGAAGGCAAGTGAGCGCAGCGAACGAGCTCCAACCTAAAGGTGAGTGAGCGTAGCGAACGAACTTCAACCAGGACGTGAATGAGCCATGCGAATACTTATGAAGCTAAACGGGGCGAAGCCCGCGGGTACAGCTAGTAGGTACATAAAGTTAAAACAAATCTTATTATCAAATTCATACTTACTAGATTAGGCCTAAATTGTGTTTATATTAGTCACATCACAAACAATAATGTGATCATTGTAAACATCGGCAAACAAAACATTCCACTTTCCTGTCTTCTCAGGTGTAGGGTTGAAAGTTCAAAAAACATCAAATTGCATGCACTTGACTTACTCCCAGCGAATCTAGACATATTCCCAAGGTGTTTTAAATAGTCTCATAAAAGTTCAAATAAGTTTAAACATCATTTTCCGTCCATTCTCACGACCAAGTACAAAAGGTTGAAAGAAAAACACATTTATTACACAACCGCATGTCACATCACAACCACAGCCGATAAGTTAGGATATGTGCTGAAATGAGACTTGGAATGTAAAGTGCAATCATCTGCCAAAATTTGGCGCCCTGAAACGTCACCTTGAAACACAGCAATCGCTTCTCGCTTCTGCGCAAAGAAGACAGAAGTAGAAGTTGTAGTTGGCACTAACTTGGCAGAGTGAGAGTAGCTTGGCTTATAGTGACGTCACAGCCAAGAATCTAGATTGTCATAATTTTAAACAACATTGTGGGTTGAAAAAAGGGCTTATGATCATATCTATCTATCTATCTATCTATATATTAATAGGCAAGCATGTTTCTTTAAAACCTTTTTTCTCAGCTTGTGTGCATCGTGGGGTAAATCTGCGCATACCGTTAGAAAGCAATTTTCCTGTAGGTGTGCAGAATCCCTTTATAAATTTAAATAGGCTCAAAGATAAGCACAAAAAATGAGATTGAAAATTTGAAAAAATTAACATGGATTTTATGCGTTGCCATGCTGGTGACGAAATAACAACAAAATATAAACAGAAAATCAAAACAAATGGAAGAAACTCCAATCACATGTTTTATTTACAGTGTGGGGTGAAAATAGAGAAGTGAGTACCGGTACATTACATATTTTTGGTCGAGTTTCGACCACTGGACGACCTCTCGTAAATATTAATCTTTACTTTCTGTCACAAAAACTGAATGTTATGGAGGATTTTGAATTGAATGCAAAAAGAAAGTCCATTGCAATTGCAATGCAAATCATTCTTAATCTCACGTGAATTGAATAATTTTGAATACAGTCTGTCCTGTCAAGCTCAGGCTTTGGCTTTGTCAGCTGGTTAAAAAACAGCTGATTGTCTGTTTCCATCCAATGTGATTGGTCAATACAGACAGATGATTTAAATGTCTACTGGTTGGCATGGCAACTAGATCTAGATGTGAAGTACAAACTAACCAAACAAGTTTATTGTTTATGTTAGTTATATACATTTTATTTTAACTACTTTCGATTCTTGGTGTTTTTTTTAAGTGGAGTTCAAAATTAAATTCAGTGACTAACCATGCATGAATTCCCTCAATCGCAAAGTTTGTACAGCATTTATTGAGAAAATTGTATAATTATCAACCTAGGGTGTTTACTGCAAGAAGAATTTCTAAATCGTTGTGTAATGTCTAGTGTTTTGAAAAATATATTTAAAATTAATTATCTTTCACAGCTTGAATAATGCACAGTTCATTGAAAGAAATAGACGATCATATAATTCAAAAGTATGACTTCAAGAAAAGAATCGGAAAAGGGGTAAGGTAGAGCTTTTTGCCTAACGTTTTCATCTGTAAATATAGGTATTTAGAAATGAGTAGGCCTACATTAAGAAATCAAATCCTCATTGAAATTCTGAATCTCTCATAGACCTTTTCTTCCTGAGTGTAATTGATTCCAGTATTTACTTACAATTTTTACATGTGCGTTAAGTTAGGCCTAAGTAATATTTAAGTTTGATTTAGCGCCACGGCCTTCAGGTCCAAGTCAGTCGTGGGCTTGAATCCTGGTACCTCCCACTACTTTTGATAGTACAGTTTACCCTTGTACCGCACCGGCCTACCCCTCTTGGATAAGTTCCACGCACAAGCCTTATGGCCCATCGATGGCCAAATGAAAGGCCATACAAATCAGTACAAAACCTAGCCACCAACCTAGCCTAGGATACCTATTTTAATGGACTCGTTGAATCTAGACATTTTCAATAATATTGCTGCCTTTAGGCCTTGTCCATAACTAATGTGACATATCCATGATTTAGGCCTAACATATTAATTATAAAGAATAGGCTAAGTGAAAAAAATGGAAATAGTTCAAATTTATTATTTGACAAGAAACAGTAATTCGAGAATGATGTTTAAAATGTTTCTGTCACTTCAAACCTCTTTGGTTTCCTAAGTCTTATAACAAACTTCACAAAAAATTGTATTGGTTTTTTTATTACAAAAATCCCTCACTCGTACTGAATTATTAAAGGTAAAAATCATCTAAAAAAATTAATTCCGATGACATGGAATTAATGAAATAAACTTTAAAGTTTAATAGGCCTACATGGAGAAAAGCAGCACAACCTCTTCAGTTTGTAATGAAAATTAAATTTAAATCTCTTTTTACATTTCTTAAATTAACTACGGTATTAATTTACTTCACCCACCAAGTGGCTCTTAATTTTAAAAACAACTAATTTACTCCCAAATAAATAGGCCTACGGTACCGGTAGTTTTTTTCATACATTTACCTACATAGGTAACATAAAATCTGAAAAAAAATATTGAGACTCTGAAAAAGAGTTTTGAAACAAATAGGCTACTTTAACTTAATCCCAAAAAATGAATTAAAGCGACAAAATACAAATTTAAATAACTTACTCTGAAACAAGTCAAAATTTTAATTGTAAAATTACTTAACTGTAAGTCTTGGAAAATTTTCCTCCCATGAGACAAACTGCAAGGAACAAAGATGTAGTAACAGAAAAATACCCTACCTCTACCCATGAATATAGGCCTACATGGTTTCATGTTAGAGCTAGACCCATTTTCAGACAGTTAGTGACTGTTAGCACATTTTTTATTTTGCCATCCCAAGGGTGTTCTATTTTTGCTGAACCGCTATCTAGCAATTATAGGCTACCTGTAAGTCTTACATCAAATTCTAAAAGTATGTCTGTCTGATGGTTAAAATACTGTCATTGAAAAAAATTACAAAAAATTCAACTGTCAAATTCATTAGCCATTAACAACTAAGTTACTGTGTAATACAATGCAAGTGTCTGTTTTTCAGGCTTATGGAATCGTTTGGAAAGCAATTGACAAAAAATCTAAAGAAGCTGTTGCTGTTAAAAAAATCTTTGATGCGTTCAGAAATCCGACAGATGCTCAACGGACTTTCAGGGAGATTATGTTCCTGCAGGAGTTCAGCAGTCACCCTAACATCATTAAGCTGCATAACGTTCATAGAGCTTTGAACAATAAGGATATATACCTGATCTTTGAGTATATGGGTAAGTTTGACTGATTGGTAGGCCTACTACAGTAGAATCCCTCGGTTAGTTCTTTGTCAGTCAGTCAAAATTGAGCAGCAGGTAAATTAATAACTTTGTGCCTCATATAAATATTGATGTGGCTAAACAAAACTGGTATTAGTCAGCAACTAAGATACAAAGGAGACATTTCTGAAATATTCTCTTTTAAAACCAAAAATGGATCCATTCTATAAGTAGTGATATGTAGAGAGACTGATCCAGCTTACCCTGCAGTGCCAGAACCAGGGCACTTGCGAACCTAGGCCAAATTAACTAGGAGAGAGGGGCCCCTGCCTGATGGATGGAACTTTCCGATAGTTGGATCACAGTAAAATCATGAACATCTCTTGCAATCACAAGGACACCATTATCATCACCCCCAATCGCGGCAAATTATTAATCTAAAAAGTTTTTCTTCTGAAGAAATTGTTTTTGTACAATACGCTGCAGCCTATTCGGTGTGAATCTGAGCTTAACCAAAGTGTAGTTGCAAGCGTTTGTCAGTTTGGCTAACAATGTTCTACTGTGTACACAACGTTTAAGGAATTTTTATGTAGTTTTGCAGTTTAGTATACAGAGTTTTTGTTGTTACTCTACTTGTCTCAACCATGTTTTTATTTGTAGAGACTGATCTTCACAACATAATTGAGAAGGGGAACATTCTGAAAGACATTCACCGTCGCTACATTGTCTACCAACTGCTCAAAGCAATCAAGTACATTCATTCTGGCAATGTGATTCACAGGGATCTCAAGGTATATTAACCCTTCATATTAGTGTTTGATTTTAAAACACGATCAGTGACACAGAGATTTTATACATATATCAATACAAAAATGTATTAAAACCATATAACAATGAAATTGTACATTAAATCAATAAACACTCTTACTTTACATATTTATTTATGAAAATATTTGGCAAAGGAAAACAACACCATCGGTGACACACACAGAGCTACACTCCGAAAATCCACCATGCATGGATTTCATGCCAGTGGACAGAAGTAGGAGGTAGAGAGGCTAGACATTTTAAGGAAATAGTTCCTCAGTCAAAACAATATCTTCCAACAATTTTGTGGACAGAAGACCAGCAAAGTCGAGGTAGCGAGATCTGGGGGGAGTGTTTTTTTCAAGGCAAAGTACCACCTTGAGTACCAAGAGCCACATCAGTAAATAAGTGCAATAGTGTAAAAGGTCCTTCACATTGTTTTAGAAATTTAATTGTTTTAAACAATGTTACCTTAGACCTTAGATTCAAAGATTTTTTGTTGGAAAGATTAAACAACATGTTTATCTCAGTGACAAAAATAGGGTAGCAAAGCATGCTGCGAACAAATAAACCCAAGAACATTGAATTTTAGAACAATTAGCCCCTACTTCAGTTGAGTAGAGTCTGAAGACAACAAGAACCAAAAGACTCTACATTTTAAGAAGCTTACCTTACACATGCAGCCACTAAAACCTAAAAGGTTTTTGTCCTCGACGACAGCTGCTCGCCATCATCTCGGTCTTGCATGACGTCTGATTTCCTCTAGATGTCCTTCTGCACCTTAGGATCATTCCACCGTAATCTTGGTCTCCCCAATGGTCCTATTTTCGTCTCTTAAGAAATGTGTAAAATAGTTTCGTGCTGGATCCTAGGGTGCTAGAATGTGAAGGCGAGGCAAAATAAGAAAAAAACTATTTTTGTCACTAAGGTAAGCCTGCTCAACATACTTACCGTAACTCAAATTCTTCCAAACTAAGCCTAAGGATATCTTTACAAAATTACTTACCTTGGATTCATCAATGTTGTGCTTTGTCCTCACTAGCCGTCTAACATCCTGCTGAATAGCCATTGCCACTGCAAGGTAGCTGACTTTGGCTTGGCGAGGTCAGTTTTGCAACTCAGCAGCCACGCAGGACAGATCCCCGTGGACCCTTCACTGACCGACTACGTAGCTACCAGATGGTACCGCGCACCAGAGATACTGGTAGCTGCTAAGAGGTGATTAGTCTTATTGTTTAAGTGTTGTATCTTTATAATTATTTTTAGCTCCAGGACCACGTGATATAACCAACAATGGCTAAAACATACCTTGTCAAAAGATTCTCAGTATGTGAACTTATCGTAGATTGTTTGCAACATATAATTTTATGGTTTAAAAAGTTCTGTCATTGTCAGACCAGATGTACTACCTAAGGCTCTTTGTGTTACTTGTAAACCATGATTGTGTGTTATAACTGTTTCTGACGACACCTCAGTATATCCTTTTGGAGCCTGGCGATAACAGAGTTTTGAATTATTGTAAAATATCTGTGAAAATGATCTAAACGTTTAACATGTTGAGGATTGTTTGACAAGACAAAATACGTTTTAGTCATTATTTGTTGTAGCCGTAGAAATGGACAGACCCAACTCTTCTTTCTGTTGTCAAACGCAAAACCTGCATAGTTTAATTAATTATATATATTAATTATAACTAGAGCTCGTCCAGTGGTCGAATCATAATTTTCCCTAGCAATGCAAAGGCTATCATTGGACACAACTAATTGAACCTATGTTAATTGGTGTAGTTTGACCATCCTCGTTGAGCAGCTTCCTTTGCATCTTATTCCCTCTAGACTCTTGGGGAGAATTACACCCTCTGTAATAGGACAACAACTCCATGTGTACCTGAATTCCTAGAAAAAGTCACATCTTTTAGAGGAGGGAAGTTAAATCTTTCTCAAAAAGCAATTTTAAATATGTCAAATTGAATATTTTATTTTAATCATACAGGTACACCAAAGGAATTGACATGTGGAGTATTGGCTGCATCTTGGCTGAGATGATTCTGGGAAAACCATTGTTTCCGGGCTCGTCTACGGTTAATCAAGTGGAGAAAATCATGGCTACCATCGAACCTCCTTCTCCTAAAGGTACAACGAACTACATACCAAAATATATAAATAAGGCTTAGTTAGTGAGAAAGTTTATATCATAATATTTCAAATAGTTTACTCGTATTGTGATTAATTACATTAAAATCTGGATTTTGTGAATTAGACGATTGAATTACTTTTTGACAATGACTCACACTTAGGTATGTATATTTTAAGCAGAATACAAAAATATAGGGTGAGTGTAAAATAGTGTATGAGCCTTGTATTTGAAAGGTTGCCAGTTTGATTCTGAGACAGTCCAGGATTGTTATGTACTAAAGAACAGCTAGTCCTAGTCAGCAACAAAGCCAAACATGCCATCTTACCTTATTCTACAGACATATTTTACTTTTACTTATGTTCAGGTTGAAATATGGCCATGTGTCCCCATAGGTAATTGTAATAATCAAGATATCCCCAATTCTCAGTTGGCTGACTTACTGTCTTGCATATCTTCCGATGAACGGCACATTTCCACTTTCATTGTTGTCATGTTGGCAGACGTAGAGAGTGTATGTACTGGCTACGGCAGTTCACTGCTGCAGAGGGCACCGCAAGGTCCACGGCTGTCGTTGGAGACTTTGCTGGGCGGATGTCCGTCGGACGCACTTGACCTTGTTCACAGATTGTTAGTGTTCAACCCGACGAGACGTTTGACAGCCGCACAGGCGCTAAGACATCCCTACCTCTCCAGGTTAGTGATAATATCCTAGTGAGCAAAGTTAAATTTGCTGCTTTGATGAAGTATGTAATGGAGTCTCTATTTTAAAATCTACCATTAGAGAATATTCTAAATTTATTCAAGGCACTTTTATAAACCTATAGTTAATCCCCATGGGCCCATACCGATATGAAAATTATCTGGTGAATTTGATTACCTGATACATCATTTCGGTAACCCCAAGTGGAAACTTAGACATTCAAATTTCCCATACTCTCACCCACCATGAGATAGAAGATGACACCATCTTACTCTATTACAGTACTTCAATATGTGCATCAAGTGAGTCGATACGCTTTTCTTTATTGTTGGCTAAAACGTTGTTCTACTTTGATATTCCTTTTTACTTAACAAAGTATATTTAATAAAATAAAGTGAAATGTCATTATACTTATGTTATTAACTTTTATGTGTATTAATATGTCATTATGTCCCTGATTCAACAATGTAACCTGCTTCTAGGGACTGAGCTAAGCTGGAAATTAAGTATCTAAGCTACTTTACATGTTTACCTACGGCACTGAGGATTTGTTGCTGTATTAAGATTCTGTAAAAAATGTCCTAGTTACATCAATATGTTTTTGTCGAACTTGATAACTGTTTCCAAACAAGATATCATATTTTGGTGTTAAAATTATTTTCAAGATATAATTTTACATCATTATAACGTGTATGATTATATAGGTACAAGCTGCTATACCCGTGCTTTGCAACGGGAAGAACATGTGACCTAGAGAGCTATTAAAGTGGTGCTGATGTGTGTTTTAAAATACATACAGCAACTCTATGATATAGTTTGAAAATATAAACTGATTTAAAAGAATAAACTTACTTACTTTCAAACCCCTACTTTTGATGTTACAGATCCCTAAGAATATGACAACATACCTTAGTGTAGCAATAGTATCAATTATTGCTTCATATTGATGCTTTATGAATGACATGTTTTACCATTTTCTTTAATTTTATTCAAGCTTCTTCAAATGTAGATTACTATATAAATAAAAAAATGAAACTTTGAGCAATACTTTACAAAACGTATACAACCTCACTTTAAAACCAAACATAACCCTCCTCAATCTACATAAAGCGTCACAAACATCTTATTCGAGTAAATAAACAAACACCAGTTCATTGTACTGACCAGCTGTTTCATCAACTAAATTAAATTAAATCATGTAAACATTGGAAGCATGCCAGGCGCAGCCCTTTGTAAATCAGCTTGTGGGACCCTGAGGAAATTCGTCCATATCAATACTTTTCGGCAAATCTACACACTCTAAGCTTCATTTTGATGTGCTATATGCCTATATTTTTATTTGGTAAATGGCTTTAACCGTTTACATAAAATTTAGTTGTATCACTTTAATAATATAATAGATACATTTTCTTTTGAACTTTTGACACACCTCTTCAAGTAAGATAAGGTCTTATACGAGGATCTAACGATGGCTAAGAGCCAAAATGTGTGTAATCCAGTCAGGATGAACTAGCGAAAACTGCTAAGTTTTTATTTTTATTTGTATATGCATTGTTTAAGTGTAAGTTAGCTAAAGTGTTACGAATGTTACAGGTTCCATAATGCCAACACCGAGCCGGCCCTTGTCACTTCGATAGTTCCGCTGCTTAGAGATGATATTCAACTGAGTGTGGACGAATACCGCAACAAACTGTATAAAGTAATCTCCAGAGCCGAGCGTAAGCTGAGCAAACCAACCAACAAGGGGGAAAAGTAAGTTATATTGTATATTCTTGGTTTCAAATTTATATACTTGATCTAAATCTATGGTAGTTTCAGTTTGGTCACAGAAAAGGTTAGATGAAGGAAAAGTGCTGGCTTGAGAGAAAAATTTAGGGAAAGAGAAAGTTTTGATGTGAACACAAAAAACTACTAGAAATTGTAATAGTCAATGTAAGGAAAATAAGAAAAACTGGAAGAATAGGAGCCTTATCTAGAGAAACAAGAATGCAGGAGGTTTTCAGCACAGCTACTAAGATTTTAGCTTTAACTTTCATAACCATCTCTGTATGTTCATGATGAAATTTTGTACATTGTTTAATCAGCTACATTACCTATGGAATTTAAAAATACAGATTGCACTAAGAAACTATTCTCTTCATTGGGACATGTTGATGGGTAACTTTCCACATGAACTTGACAAGTTTAGCATGTTGGGTCGCTGTCAATACTACGAGAGTATGGTGATATTATCAGGTAATTGATGTGAAGTTCAGCTAAGGGCTACTTTTTGCGTGATCTTTGGCAAATCCCTCACCACCAAGCAACATCATAGTTGATAATAACCACTGTGGCCTAATATTGCTTGCATCAGTAACTCATGAGAAAATGAATCATCACGCCAGGAAGCTTGGTTGGTGCGTGATGTTAGTGGACCTTAAATGTGGAATGGATTGATCATTACAGTACGTCTGATTAAGTAGTTACTTCCATGTTTAATTTTCAATCCTCAACCTTCCTAGCTATGAAGTGTATTTTTTTCTTTAAGCTAAATATATTTTTGAATTTCAAACTAAAAAAAACATACTTTTACAATCTGCTGCTCTGGGCTGCAGCCCCTTCAGCCACCCCCTACCTCCGCCACTGGAACCTCTCCTACAAATTACTCTCGTGCACTTACTAGATTGTCACTGTGCAATGGCACACTGACAAGCTTATACCAACCAGTGGTATATTTTTGTGATTATTCCATTAGTGACGATTCTACTTACAGTGGACGGAAGCTATCAGAGCCTGTTATCCGAGCGCAGACCAGCCGCCACACACGCAGACCTACGCAGGAAGTAGTAACACAAAAGTCCAGTGCAGCTTTGGCGCCTCGTACCTCCACATCTTCTTCCAATCCCGGTAAACACCTTTTTTTTAAACTTGCGTTGTAAGTTCTGGCATAAATAGTTTAGAACTTTGAGGTTTACTTTCCTCCAATAAATAGTCCAACGATTTAGATTACTCAGTAGCGTACATTTTCCGCTGTGAAGACAACATTTTTAGTCCCAGCCCTAAAAGTATCTGGATTCAGCCCCGGCCTGCAAAACACTACTTTCAATCATCAAATGATGTTTTGAAAACAGCTGATAAGATCGGTGTGGTAGAATAGCACTTTCTAAGAAGAACTAGTGGCTTGTAGGGACATAAGTCCCTAAAAAGCTCAAATGTAAAACAACTTTTTGCGATACCGGTATTTAAACAAACTCAGAATAACATTATCTATGTGTCAGAATAGGCATCCCTACACCATATCTTTTGTGTAAAAACCAGTTTGTTGTTCTTCTTTGTTTGCTTTTGTTGGTGTCATTTTCAATAAATAATTTGAATCACTCCAGTGGTTTAACATTAAAAGGCAGCAAACATATCATTGTTTGTGAATAAATACTGGTTTACTAAGGTAGCTTTGGTTAATGAGGATAAATAAAAGCTTCCCTGTTTGGAATTTTAAAAATTCATTGGAGGTTCGCCTTCAGATGAATTGAAGACGCCTGCAATTTCATCTGCAGTAGGCTTATTATACCTACGACGATCCATATTTATCCTGTCTACAAACCTAAGTTCTAATTCACTGTCACCTTGTACAACCATTTCTTCCGAAGCTCTTTTGTAAATTTGTGCAAATGGATTTTCTAATAGAATTTCAGCTAGTTTTGACAATATTTCAGGTTTTAAGTCACTATTTTCTTGACGCCTTTGACGAATTTCTGTTGCTGTTGATGTGTCAATAATGTACAATTGGCCATACACGGGGTCTTCATCATGTTGAGGCAGCAAATCTGAGATTGAACGATAAATCTGTCCTTGAATTTTGAAACAGTATGGTCCTTTTCCTGGAATATCTTTCTTACTGGCTGAAAAATAAGCAAAAGCCATCGCACTGTTGCATTGTCGAATGAATTTATACAGTTGTGGGCTCACTTCAAACAAACTTTTAAGTTCTACATTAGTTTTTGACTGAGGAAGGTTAATAAGTCCGTTATGGCAACATGTCATAAAATGATTATTCGTTAGTTCTTCTCTAAAATGAAGAGCACTACATTGAATGCACTCTTGGTCCAGTAATCCTGCATCATGGATCTTTACATTTCTCTCGTCTACCATGGGTCTCCTAAAAAGGGGTTGTAACATATCTTGATTAAGTTCGTCATTATCTACTCTTGCTCTCCTACGCGCACTGTCATTCCTATGAACAGTTCCCCGCCTTTGTGGTATTCCCCTGGCGTTCATATTAATTACAGTACTTATAATGAAAAGAATATATATCCAGCAGCCTACATACCAAAACATCTTGAATCCCTGGTGATTTTATAAAAGTATGATCGAATATGATTACGTTGTATATTCACTGCACTAAAAAAATTTACTTACGAAGGAATGCAAATACACCATTTTAGAACCAATAACATTTATAGGTTATTTTAGTTGTATATATTTACACAACCTTAACCTTAAAATGTGTAGAAATATAAAGAAAACAACATCATTTAAAATAAACTTGAACATATGATTTAAAAATAAAAACAAAACAGAAGTTAGATTTAATTTTGACTCTTTGATTATTTATACAGAATATTTATTCTATGTCGTTTATTCCTTTAACACGACAATAACGTAAAGCATGAAAAAATGAAACTTGAGTATATTTTTTAAATATAAACAAAGAATGCAGACGTTTTTCCGACTAATCTTCAATATTTCAGTTTTATTACAGTATACATTTCATAGTTGACTGGCTAAAAGTAAACCAAATGTGTGTATTGATCACTGTTTTCAAATCTGTGGCACAGCTGTTTTAATTTCAAAAGATGTAAACAAATTAAACCCCATGTTGTTTTAATGGGAAAAGTTTTATTCTGTTGCGAATTTATGGTAAAAAAAAGAAAAATGAATAGTTTTCCCTCAAAATTCACGTCAAGACCTTTAAAATAAGACCCCTCCCATCCTTCTACGGCCATCCAGTCACTCACAACTTCTTTACAAAAATTTGACTTACGGAATTATATATATAGATAATGTTGCCATAAAAATTGTGTGAGTAGCTTGATAAGTAATGGATATACCTACGTTCATAATGAGGTTTTTTAGAGTTGAACAGTAATATCACAAACATACCAGTGGCACAATTAATATGTTTTGGTTGTTATCAAATTCCTTCATTGATGTCCCAGTTCTAACAAAGCTGTTAGGAAAAGGTGAGGTTTTATTAGGGTAAAATTTGTATGGTAGGAATATACCGCTGGGTTTGTCATCTGTAAAGGCTATGTAGATTATTATGTGCAGTACGCTCGACGTTGGCTCGTCGCAGTTCTACTGGTTCCCAGTACAGCCACCAGGGGAGCCATCAGTCCCATCATGACACTGTCACACTCACCACCATCAAAGAGACTGTTCCTTTGCAACGCTCCCAGCCGGTGAGTAGAGTTTACTCTATGTTGGTAACAAATTTCATAATATTGGTGAAAACTATGATTTCTTGGTCAAATCAAGCCAAAACCCATAAATCTGAATCAATCAAATACTGTAAAACCAATACTAATCTTTAAATGAAGATTTTCCTCTTATCGATAAGGAAAGATAATGATAGCGAGTGACAGGGTGTCCCAGAGGATGATGTTTGAAACAAGAATTTAACCTGAACTAAATCTTTTGAGCATATGAAGAGTTCTTGCACATCAGTACGGGAAACACACGGCGATAAATAAACAGAATGTAGAAATGTAATTGGTACCATACTCTAATGGCAATCACATTGGTTTTGGTACCAAAATTACTACCAACTTTGGTGAATAAAATTATAACTAATTGTTGAACTTACAGGTTATAATAAACAAGGGTATGAGGATCTCGCAGAAACCAAAACCAACTCCGGGATTTAGCGGCTACATGAGACGGGTCTCTCACAAGGAGCCGGCCAGCTCACAGTACACCAGCTACGACCAGAAGTACGGCTACATCACTGCCACCGAACTGCAGCAGATCTGTCATAGGGTCCAGTGGTAGTCACTATCAATAGATAACTTTTGGAATTTTCTAGCGATTTTCAGTAGGTCTATTATAGGATTTTAGTAATTTTAATTAGTTGTGATTTCACAAATTGCTCATTACTCCGGCTGACCAAAGCGTTCAAAGTCTGATGTATTGCCTTCAGGTTTTTATCGACTTTTTATCCGTCAAAATTAGATGAAAACCTAGTATAGTTATAGTTGGAAAATCAAAGTGTAGATTATGTAAAATATCGAAAAATCAAAAAAAATCCTTTATACATTACAAAGACCAATAAAATATTTATGGACCTGACATTTTTATAGTATTTTTGCGTAGTTTGTTTTTCTAGTTAGGAACAATCTAGTCACATCTAGTCCCTAGGAGTAAGTTTGGAAACTCTCTGATATTTTATAGCTCATCAATCCCAGTAAAGGGTTTTTATACACTTTTACGGCTGATTCTACACTTTTCTCAGGCATTGAACAATTTAGGATTCAGAGAGTTAAATGACTAAAAATAAGGACATTTAGTGTGTTTTTTTTTAGATTTGTTAATACACGTTACTATAATTCCTTCACCTCAATGATTGAACGGTCAGAATAAAGTACAACTTTTAAAATTCTATAATGTTCAATACTTTATTAAATAAAGGTAATATGTTGTAGGTGTAGAATTTTTGGATACAGTAGTTCTGATAGAAAACTGACAACGGCTATAACAAAAATTAGTTATTTTATTTTAAAATTTTGGTGCTACACAAAATACATTCAGGGATTATTCATGATCAATTTTTCTAGCTTTTGTTTTAATTATTTGTGACTTTCATTTTTTATGGTCTTTCATATAAACATAGATTTGACAATTTTTTATATATTATATATTTAAATCTGTAAAAGTGAACCAAGCTATTTTTTTTTAAGTGTTTGTTTACTACAGGAAACTCCCTCTTATCCGGACTCCTCGGGACCGAGGCCCGTCCAGATAACGGGTTTTCCGGTTAAACCAACGTCACCCGTTTAAATGCATACTGTATACAGTATTTGACTTAGGAGAGCATTGTATTTAGACACGTGATCACTGGTCTCAAATCTTTCCCAAGAAAACAGTCGTTGCAGTATCGCCCACTTCCTGCCGATCTAGTCCGGTTAAACCGATGTGCTGATAAAAATTGTCCGGTTTAAGAGATGTAATTTCCGCCAAGTGTAGTCCGGTTAAACCGATGTCCGGTTAAAAGGTGTTTGGATAAGAGGGAGTATACTTTATTTGCATTTCAATTAAGCACGTTTCTTTGTATAGCAGAACCAAATATTAATTTCTGTATGAGGTTATTCTTTTATATATTAGATATTAACTACTTAAAGTACTTATTCATTAGGTTACATTATAGTTATTCAGTCTATGATTCAACTAGTTATTTTAAGTGTATTAATTGGTAAATTGTCTACCTCGTAATCTAGGCTGGATTATCAACAAAATAATTATTTTCATCAGTATTGTATTCATACGGAGTAGAAATTTAATTTAGTTTATACAGGATAGTTATACATTTTACCCTAGAGATGCTCAGTTTTTGTTGTAGTAGATTTTATGTTCAAGTAGTCACTGAAATTTAAAATTAAAACTATACATACAATGAAGACAGTTTGTTTTTTTCTTAATCCTCAGTTTTAATCTCAATTCAATAAGCAAGAACAATCCCTGGAAGTAAAAAATAACAATCTGATTAAATGTTATATTCCCAAACACAAATGAGCCTATGAACTATGAGTACAGGAAAACTTTTATGTTCGTGATGAAAAATAATTGTGGAGAGTGCTGCATAACCTTCAAGTCACATTTTGAGGGGAAGGCCTTTTGAAGGACCACTTTTGTCCGTGTATTATTATTGACTAGTGACAACATCGACCAGCTGTTATCTATATTCAATAAAAACAGCTGAAAGTTATATATAAGGCATGTGCTGAAGACAGTCAAGTTTAGAACTACTGTAGGGCCTTGGGTACTATACGAGTGGCAACCTGCAAGCGACGCGTAAGTGGCGGTGGTGGCTACGATACAAGCGTAACTTTTGTAACACTCATCAAATTTCTCCTGTTGTAATCAGTTTAGTCGAAGATGGCAAACTGTGATGACCCACAAGATGTATTGCAACTATTGTTGTTATCTGACAATTCTCTTTTAGAGAAGCACTTAGTTTTTAGAAGTCAGAGGCGTCGGAGCCGATGGGGGAACATCCAAACAACCAGAGGAGAGGAGAGTTTGGGGAAAACCACCATCTAATTTTAGAATCACTCAACTTCACCTCTGTCTTCTTCAGTTTTGCTGGAGGCTCATACGTTTGCTACTGCTTCTCTGACTTTGTTGGCTGAACTGAAGCATGACTCATCTAAGAGGCGAGCGGCGTTTTCGCAAAAACCGGTTTGGACCTGGATCCATGAGCGACGTCGCTTACTGCCGCTCATGAAGATGTATCGTTGCTAGCCTCAACAAATTTACATGTAATTAGACCCGATGCTAGAGGCCGCTCATATCGTTCGTGGCGTTTAGTGCATTTGGGCTTTTAGTTCACCAGTGCCAAATCCTAAGCAAGTAAGTTGATAGTGCAGCAACTTACCAAAGACATTTGGTATGTTTAATCAATGTTGTCTGGTCCCAAGATTTGACTTTTGTGGATTACAACAAAATCTCAGGGTAATCTATCAAAAATATATTACTATCTTTTTGTTTTTATAATGAATATAGGCCTATATATTTTCAAACAAATAGATTTTTTAATTTAAATACCAAATATTTCAACTAATAATTGTGATCATTAAGATAAATATCTTTGTTTAACTTTTTATCGTTGTATTTACTCAAAAATAATATGAAGGCCTACATGCACATGTGAAATAACTGTGCTCAGATTTAGGTGACAAGATTATTCTGGTTTTATATACACCAGTGGCATTTTTTACTTTTTTTCAAGGGACCGATCCAAACCCTCTGGTATTTTACCCAATAAAGGTAAATTATAAAATTTGCAATAAATTAAATACTTTTTTCTCATATAGACTGTACAAAATTGCAAAACAACAAAGGATAATAAAGATACAGTGTTTAATTTAATTAGTCTCAAATGTTTTATTTGGCCATAATTGTCTGCATTGATGACAATCGTTTAGTGTTACAGTTGTGGGTGGGTAAATGTGTACAGTGAATTGTTAATTTTTGGATATTGATAGCTGATTACGACTAAATTAATTCCGTGACACAACTTTTAGTTTATACTGAATCTTCTGCCCAGTCCAGACCACTGTTTCCCTTAGTTTTACAAGGTACAAATCAGTTTCATCTTGAGTAAAAGAATACTTCTATGCAGCTCAGAGCTTTCTTGGAAATTACGACACTCTGTAGTAGCAATTACCAAATTATTATATTGTAAATACAGTGTAACCTTTTCTTCATTCATTGAAATCAACAAATAACACTCTGATGCATTTTAAAACTGTACAAAGGTGTTGGCTCATACACGGAATGTCCAACCATTTAGCTGTTGGCTGGTAGTGAACAAGTTTTACTTGCAACCAGTGTTGCGTACCAACCTAAATACATCTCCATAACGCAGAGTGCTTTAGTGATTGGACGTTTGTAGATGAGAAAGTGAACACAAATATATGGTCAATGGGCACTAAATATTATTAAAATTTGTTTTCAATTTGAACACCTACACACAATCCATGGCTACTACAAACGGTTGCCTAAGACTTGAGTATAACATCATCCGCCGACCCAGACGGTGCTGCTTTCAAGCATACAGATGCAACCAGTCAGATGTGTGCTTTTGTGTAAGTTCTGAGTGATGAAGTAATTTACTTTTCTTTTATTCAACTAAAGTGATTAAAATGCCCGATGAGCAATATGCTGTATCAGTATGTAACAACAGCTAGATAAATATGTAACAAGTGAGAGAGGCAGGATAGCGATTGTCACGCCTGTTAGGTATTGTATCTAAACGTCATCCTCAAAACCTCTTCGCTTATTTTCCTTCCCCAGTATTTTTCAGATATCCTTATCCTAATTTCTGTTACGCTTGCAGTATCATTTTGCTTGAAAAATAGTTTGACAGATGGAAATGCACCCAGCTTAAAGAACGGGGCTAAATTTAACAGCTAATCTTTTAAATCGTGTTAGTAATCACTAACAGTAAAATAATCAGAACAAATTATACTTTCTGGTTATATACATTTTTAAGAGATTACAGCAAACCGCTCACCAGGCATTTAAATCACTCTTGTTGACCTAAAATTAAAATTACACTCGAGAAAAGCTAATTACTCCATCTCACAAACTTACGCAAAAACAAACAAAATTCTGACAGGTGACAGATGTTTACAATAAAAGCAGCTCTGTTCAGGGTTCTGCTGGTGACATCATACTCCCGTCTTAGGCAACTTCATTTATAGGCCTTACATACAATCCATTACAGAAATATTATCATAGGAGTACTGATACAAGAAATTCTATCCTTAGGTATTGGACAAAATAAGTTGATGGCTGCTAGTATTATTTGTCAATTCTACACCTTCAAAAATTATCGTGTGTAAGCCCCCTAAGTAACTTAATTTCATACTTCACATTACAACAAAGAAAACAAAGGTATCTGCTTTTTTATATGACAAAATAGAACAACTCCAATTTTTAAGTGTACATTTAAATAAATGAATAATATAAATATCCTTTGGCTATTTAAGGAACATCAGAACCCAAACTAATGATTATCGAGAAAACCTGAAATTATAATTAAACTTGTTCACCTAGGATAATACAGCATTTCACAAAACCCATTCAAAAAGGGAAAAATGGATATTGAACTTAAAATAGTTGAAGGCTGGTAACTATCTTAACCATAGTTATTAAGCGATTCACCATAAACCTATAGAGGTTTGTCTATTCAAACACCAATAAATTTTACAAATAATAATAAACGAGTTATTAGTGCAGTTGGATAAATGGACGCTCTCTTACAGAGGAAACAGTGGTTATGTGTGGGACGACCTGAAAGCTTTTCAGCCTCTTAACACTACCTTAACTAATCTATACCTTATGGCTACACTTAAGTATTTATATATTTTGTATTTTACAATATGTATTTAACAAGTCATCAGGTACAGAATGGTGAAACAGACTTCATGTAAGGCACTGCTCGAATAAGGGTAATGTGGATTCCAACTTCTGACAACACTTTTGCAATTTTTATGAACTTAATTGGGAATTGCTTTTTTTATATTGGTTTCAGAAATAAAAACTCACTTTTATTGATTAGTTTTGCAACAAAAACTAGCATAAATTAGATGATAAAAGATTTAATTGATGTCTCTACTTCCAATATTTTGATTGATAATAAGAAAGTGTAAAAATGTAACCAGTTGCTTTTGTAACATATTATTATGTGAAGAGTAGCTAGAGGCTTGAAGTGGAATCCACATTGCCCTCGTAACAAAATAATCACGAGTTAAAACTTACAAGGTGGTAACTAAGTCGTTCTAGTATTATATACAAAATGTTTTCTTCTATTGGTAGGGTTCTTTGAACAAATAACATAAAAAATATCTGCAATTTTTCTGTAAAGATATAAAAACTCAATTATTAACTGTTCTTAACCTATTGTATCACAGATCTGAATCGGCCGTGGTGCATCTGTTGTCAAACATATTTATGAGAACCATTGGAATTTTATTCTGAAAATATTGCATTGCTTATTGATTGCTAAAATATTCACCTAAAGCTGACTCAATGCAATATTCTGGATCAAATGAAAATTGTAAATATATAAGGGTTAAGAGCTGTATCAATTCAGGATCCTTAAAAAGGAATTAATATAAAACTGGATTTAAAGAGACTCGTTTTTACAAATCTGATCATGATCCTTAATTTGCTCCTCCAAAAAAAGGTCAACCAAACTCTTAAATATAATGCGCACAAAACAGTATAACTAAAATTAAAAAATGACCAACAAAAACACCACAAACCGTGATCTTACTGACTAATATTAAACCTAAATAATGATTTAGGCGTACAACATAGAAATATACACCATCTTATATCGTTAAAGATAACAAGGCTGTTGATGAGGGCAGAGCAGAAGCACCGTCAACGAGGCACTTGGTGAATAATGTAATACTATTGAAACATTGTAAACATTCTAGTAAATCTGTCTTAAGTAGTTTAGAACGAATATTTCATAGAAAAGGTAACATTTTAAAAATACATATAACATTTATATAAAAGCGAATATTAGTAATTAATTATAAATACAACATGATAAAGCTTGGTTAAACCTTTGAAAACGTAAAGGTAACAAACAGTTACAAATAACAATACATGGAATTAACGGTAAGGAAAGACTACACAAGATTGCGTGTACGACTTCATCAACAGCGGCACAATTTTGATTTCCTGCTACAAACAAGAGTCGAGGCGAGAAGAGAACCGAGAACTGATTTGGTACGGATTCGATTGTCGTTTCTCCTCCTCCGATAGTAACAAAGGCCCTTGGCCGACGTCGTAGGAACATCAACCTTATCCAAAATAAATAACACGCTCGAAACAAAAACCTTGCATCCGACTTAAGTCTTAAATATATGAGGTAGATGTACTGTAAAATACGTTTACAACTAAATAACCTAATGGAAAGTCCTACGCTACAATGGAATCTATATTTGCGGATCTGCAGAAGGTGTCATGGCGGCTAAGCCGGGAATGTGTCGGTAACTGACGTCCATCCAACCAGAAACTTTATAACCAGATCCAGAGTTTCAATTAGAATTACAGTTATGGAGTAATTTACAACAGTTTGAAACATAATATTGCATACTTAAGATTAATTTACAAACAAATGTAACTTAATACATTAAATTAGTAAAATAATACCAACAAATAGAACACAGTGTAATTCAATATAACATATAGCAATCAAACTACCACTTTGGTGTAAGACAGATAAAAGAAATAAATGAGAGTTCATGATTCTATTTGTGGATTTTTTTAAATCGAGAATCAAGACAAACTATATGTTAAAATCAATCTATGGAGAGATATAACACAAATCTTGGTAAACTATCAAACATTAAACTTCACCAATTGGTAGCTATGTAATGATAATTTTTTACTTTAAATGAAGTTCTGTACTTCTCTATAAAAATTAACAAGTCATGATGATAACACTTTTCTGGTAACTTAACACAAAACATAACACAAATTATACACAACAACAATTTTTATATCTTTATACTTTAGTTTTACTAAATGAATTAAAAAAATGAAAATTCTTGCACAAAGTTAGTAAGTCTTTGAAAACAAAATGTTTTACAATAATTACATTATGTAAAAACTACAACCACTCTTAAATTTCTAAAAGATTAAAGACTTTAGATTTATATTATCAAAAACTGGTTGCAACATTTGTTCACACTAATCATTTTTGAAAGTAGCTATGTATGTAGAATTCTTAAGTGATGTAATATGTCAATTTTATTTCAACAGGTAATATAAATCACCTTAGTTAAACAATTTCCAGCGCTTTAAAATTCTCTAGTAGGCCTATGTGGGAATATATTGTAAGGCACACCCTTAATGTTTCATAGTTTATGTGGTATAAGATCTCAGGTTGGCAGGTTATTGATATAAAATTGTCACTTGTAAATTTGTAGAAATGGAGGTAGTATTTTCATGGGGTGGTTTAATCACTTATCACAGCTAAAATATTGGACCGGGTTGAGATTTTAAAACTCATAAAATAACAAGTCGTCTAGTTTGTAGTTGAAGACTGAAAAGAAGAAGTGTGTACTGATTTTATTGTCTAGGCCCAACTCATGAGGGCTTAGAAAAAATGTCCTAACGTACACAAACAGAATTTATGAAGAACTCAAGAGTTAGAAAATAATTCATCGAATACAGCCTCAACTGAAAAGTAGTTAGGTGTTGACTTAAGATACTGAATTAGACATCCCATCTATATGAACCAGCTGTGGCCAAATTTTATTCATAAAGAACTTGGTTGGATAAGCCACTCATGCAGTCATGCAGTGCGCTACAGTCTAAAACTTGATTTTATCCCTTAGTTTTGTTACTGAGACAGTTGAAATTACGCAAAATATACTATGGGTTACAATAAGTGATTCAATCAGTTTGACTCCTTCTTTGTTGATGGCTTAATTAAGTTAAGTCCATATTCATTCTAATGCTGACAGTAACTTAACCGGGAATGGGATGTCTAGTTGTATCATAGTCATAGGTATAAGTATCAAACCAATGTAAATGTTATGGATTTTGTTGGAAAGCTTGGTTGAAGCCCGGCAGCGGAGTAGAGCTACTAGGAGTATCTCCGGGAGACAAGAAGCCTGGTATGACCAAGTCAGCATCAGAGGAGGAGCCCTGACTAGGACCAGACATCTGCAGGATCTGTCTGCTCAACGACTGTTCTTCCTCCACCTCCATGAAGTGACTGCCAGACATGATTGACAAGGGGAGGGGGTCTGACTCGTCCGCAGTGGTCAGCAGGAGGTTGGGAGGGAACTGATGAGGCAGAAGAGTGATAAACTCCTCGGCTTTAATATCAATCACTTCTGACGACGAGCCCCTCGGAATCTCTTCATAACTCATACCTGGATCGAGGCTGGACATGTGATGAGGGTATGGGGGAGGTGGGCTTTGGTAAATTGTATCGGACATCATGCTTCCGCTTGTTTCCGACAGTAATTCTTCTGGTTGACCGATCTGTCTCAACGTTTCAGAGTCCGCTTTAAATATTTCACTACTGGCAGGTAAATTTGTTTCGTCATCTTCCTCGTCGTCGAACATTCCGAGAGAAGATCTACTTTCACTTTTAACGTCTAGCAGTGGGAGTTCCTCGTCTTCTAGTCTGCTAGTAGAAGCTTCTTCCAATATAGCGGTGACGGACTTTGTTTTCTGATCTGCCTTTTTCTTTCCTTTCTTCCCTCCATGGTTGTGGCTCTTTTTTATATGTCTGACGAGATGGTCTTTTCTTCCGAAACGTTGAGGACAAAACTGGCATAAAAAATCCCTCCTACCGGTATGAACGACCAGATGGCGCCTCACATCCTTTCCGGTGAAGAAGCTTCTCTCGCAATACTCACATCTGTATTTTCGATCCGCTTGTGTTTTAACGGTCCGAGAACCGGCGTGGATTTTTAAATGCAAAACTATTTCTTCTTTTGTCGCACATACTTTATTACAAATCGTACACTCGAGATTACCGTCTTCCGCCGCATGGACGGCTACGTGCTTTCGAAAACTAATCGGAGAACTGTACTCTTTTCCACAACCTTCTCGATCGCATTTGAACCGCTGTTTCAGAGGACTGTGAACCTTAGAATGATTTTTCAAGTGATCTTTTCGGTGAAAAGTCCGTCCGCAGGTATTACACCGATACTGTCGAGTGTCCGAGTGTATGAGAGCGTGGCGGACCAGTTTGAAGCGAGATGAGAAGGCCTTGCTGCAATGCTGACACACAAACGGTCGTTCTCCTGTGTGAGAGTAAAGGTGTTGACTCAGCTTGCCGGGACTGCCGAAGCTCTTGGGGCAGTGAGGGCAGGAGTGGCGTGCTCTACTCTCTGAGAACAGCTGTCTGCGCGCCGTGGGGGGAGCCTCCTCCCGCTCTGACTGCGGCGGTCGCTTTCTTGGTCTCGTGCGTCGCGCAGGTAGGCCTGCGGACGTGGATGGAGTGGCACATAGACATGCTTCGAGGGAATGCCTGCAAACCGAGCACTGCTGAACCACCGGGCCGTGCGATCGCAACTGGGGGCCCACCCCTGGAGACTGGTCTGAAAAATTTCAACCGTACTTAGTCCGATGTGTCAAAGTTTTATGAAATGACATAGTGAGGATAGCAGATTAAAAAGAAATAAAATTTTGTACAAATACTAATATGGAATACTTTTTAGAAATTTAAATTATTATAATTGTATCCAGGGAAAACATGTATATCTTAGAGAAAACTTCATAAAGAATCAATGGAATGTAGCATTTACTACAATGGTAAGTAACTAATTCAGTAAATTAGTTAGCTTCCATGAAGGTCATGAAAGGTAAACTCCTGGTTTAAAGGTAAACAAAAAAGTAATAGAGAACCTAGTATAATTCTATCATAACACAACACTTTTTGCTATATAATATGGCTCAACAGATACAGTCCGCAAAACTCTAATAATATACTAACTTTTCTAGATTAGAAATCATAAGAACAACTGATAAGCATATTTTAAAAAAGAAAAATGTATAAGATACAAAATTAAAATTTTTTTTTCAAATGCACACAAAAAATTACTCAATAAGAACTCCTCTAAAATCTGATTCAGCGATAAAATACAATAAAACATGTTGGATTGTATATTCAAACCACAAGAATTTCAAAGTGGTATAACTATCATAACCATACAATATCAAACCTACAATATTATTATTTGATGCTAACAAGAAAAAAAGATCAATAGTTGTTCTTAAAACGTTTGTTCAGATAAATAAATAAATAAATAATTAAATCATATAAATGTTTTGTTCTACATTTTAGTTTAATTTTGTACTAACATTTTCTTGATTAGTTGTATGACACCGGTAAAGTTGCTTTATTCGTATTTGTAATTGTGTCATTCACCTCGACAACAGCTGTTCAACACACACACTTGCGCGAGTCGTTAATACACTCTATGTTTAGAGGCCGAAAGAAGAGCTTGTATTTTAATTTAACTAATTTTTCACAAACACTTTAGTTTCAAAACCTGGTTTTATAAACACTTTGGATTTTTTTAAATCGCTTGACCTATGGCTCCAAATCATGTCAGCACTTTCACTCATAATACTTCCTTGGTACTGTTTTTTTGTATTTATATTAAAACGGAAATGCTATTAAATATTATTATTATTTCAATATTATTAAAACATTGATAAACCTTTTTTGCTCTTATTATTTGCTATTCTTTCTACTGTAATACATTTTGAAAATTGTATAATGTAATGGAGACGTATGAAACCTTTCAGAATTGTAAACCCTTCACTTATAGACTTAAGTTTTGTTTTTATTTCACACATGGCTACTACAGTATATCCAATGACCAAATAGATAAAAATAGTTTTAAAACTGTAGAAGTTTGAATCATTACAACTTCTAGAAAACAAAGATAGGCTACTATTAAAATATGGGACGTACATTTATTCACCTGACCTTACATACTGCCCCTAATATACAGATCTACATTTATGGTCACAAAATGATATTCATTGACTTTGAAATATCCAGATACGCAATTCAATTTGTTTATCAAGGCTGAGAAACTGAGAGGCCTATTGCCAAAACAGTGACCTACTACTTGGACCAAGTGCGTTGGTCATCTACGCACTGAGCAAGCTACGCTACAAGGTGGTGATTCATATGTACATATTTTACTGTGTTGTATAAAAACAATAAGACCCAACAGAATTCTGATAAAATAAATTCAATACTTGAACAATCAAATACTATCAAACTGCGATAAACCAAAACCCTTTCTAAAAGTTTTTATACATTTTTAAAACATTATTTAAAAAATTACACAAATAACTTGTCAAAGTTGAATTTATTTTTATAAATAAAACCAGTGATTTACTTTATAAAAGTGTTGGAGAAAACTGGCGTTTCCCACATGATGATGTAACATGCATTTCACTACTCTAAGTGTATTTTAGAATTTATTATTTTAATTAATTTTTAAAGAGGTTGGCACTCTCTTTTAACCTTGAGTTTCTTTATCCACAGGGGTCTCAATCCCGGGTTCAATCCAATCCCGGTGTTTCGGGACTCATCAATCCTGGGATTATATTATTTTATGATTTTAACCAATTAGCCATTTTAAATGAGCGTGAAGTCCCCTTGTTGAGTTCTCTAATGTTTTAAACTGGCCTTAACTGTGTTACACTGTGCAATTTCTCTGTTTTTTAAGTAAAGAAATATCACCACACGGAACTTTCATCACCTGTCTTTCTTATTTACAATGTATGAATGTTTATATGTCACTCTTAAATTAAATAAACCCATTAAAAAAATTACGACTCGCATGTAGTACATGTCACGTAAACTATATAAACCAAAATATAAAGATAAAAAGATAACATGAGAAGAATCATGAGTTGCAGCATAATATTTAATGTTATGTTCACTGACAGAAATAAAACAATTTAAGGTACTGCATTGTTAAAAAAAATTAATACCACACTAAAAACTAAATACAAAGATAAAGTTATAGGCCTGGACCATAAATAAGTCATGCATCTTAATAATGAAATAATAATGGTGCGTTTGTTGTTAATTTTTAGGCCTTTAATGTTATTAAAAAAATAATATTTTAATTACCCGTTGCCATGTTATGTTTGCCACATCAATTGCGTTGTTTGCGTTAAATGACAAAAGTAAAACTCAAAACAACCACTAGTTGTAGTGTAATTAACTTCTAACTAATGTAATAACATTTACAGAAAGTAAATACAATTCGTCCAAAAACATGAAACATTATATGTTTACATTACGTTCGCCTATTGAGTTTGATGATACAGTATAACCTCTTTAATCCGAACTAATTGGGACCAGGGGTAGTTCGGACTATTGAATAGTTCGGATTACAGAACATATTGTTGTTTTTACGTAACAATAGCTAAAACATGGCTAAAATTGATCAAAATTATTTTGGGGAAAATGAAAAAAATGTTTTATACATTAAAATACAGTGTTTATTTAATACAGTAGTAAACATGGTGAATAAACAGTACTGTACATTAAATACAGTATAGAATAAAGAACTGCTGTACTGTGTATAGACTACAGCAATGAGGGGTTCGGATTAAAAAGGTTCTACTGTAATTAAAAGTGTCCAATCAAAATAGATCACAGTTTATACCATATTTCATATATATATTTATCGTCCTAAAAATAAACAGTATACTGTGTTTCAAGTGTTATTGGACGTATTTTTTAAATTATTTTCCGTAAGTAAAACTCCTCAAATTCACAAAAAAATTATATAAACATAGGTTCTGCAATCCCATTAAAACCGGGATTAAGAGACGTCAATCCTGGGATTTCTAGTTATCAAAAATCTACCGGGATCCCGGGATTAAGACCCCTAGTCCCAGGCCTGTGTGTGGAATGTACTAAACAAAGCAACTGGTACAGCACAAAACACCATGATGCAAACAAACGACATCACTGCCTTAATTTCATAGCCCATTGTGGTTCTGACTGGGCCAACAAAGAAGTAGTTTTCTGCCAATAGAAATATATTTTTTAACATTGTCGCTTGGAAATAATTATATCTTGCTCATACAAAATTGCAACTTGATAAAAAGTAATTTTTAAGCATAAAATAAATCAATGAAATAATTATTTTCTATCCAAAGTTTGAATTAGGTTTTTGGGGTTTGTGGATCTTATGTCTACTATCTCATGACCAATTCAATACTTAACATATGTTTTAGCGAGAATTTCTTATTATTAAAGGAATTTGTTGGACTTTTGTGTACAGCAAATCGAACCCTAAATATTTTTTTAAAATGCATATTGGGTATCAATTTAAAGCTCTTATCCTCTAGATATGCCTTTTGCGGGTTTGGATAATATCCCATGAAAGCCCATTGTCCTATAGGCTTTTAAAATTTCATTGTGCTGAATTCTGTCGTCAATCATCAGAACTTTTTCAAGTTTACATTTGTTTACATCAAAAAATATGGCCATGATACAATTTTGTTTAAATCAATACGAAAATGGGGTTATCTGTAGTTGGTAATGTTTCGTTGAATTCAATAAAATGTTGTAATGTTATTAGCAAATGTAAAGAAAAAAATGACTTACGTTAGACATTGTGTTGTGATGGGATTTTGTGTTTTCATAGTATGTTTTATTAGTATTTGTAATTTTTCTAAGATACCTCAAATAGATTGCACACATAATGAAAATAATAGGACTCGCAATGCAAATAATAGGGATATGATAAGAAATAATCGTTTCCAATTTTATCAACTATATATCAATATCACAGATTTTGAAGTCACAAAGTGATGCAAGTTACTAGTAATATAATCAATGAAGATAATACAAAGATGGCGCAAGTTACTAGTAATATAATCAATGAAGATTATGGAATTGTCAAAATCCTTCAAGTTTTGTAACATTTAAAAACTATTCTAGACTTCATCATAAGCTTCACACAGATTTACGAGTGACATTGATAAAAAGTTATTAATCATTTAAACATGCATACTATTTGTTCAATTAAAATGAAGTTTAGGCCTACCAGATGGAGGTTTGGATCCCATGTCGAAGGCATATTCCTGGTTCAACAATCACCAGTTGACCGCACAACAAACAGCAGAGCCCACAGTTCTATAACAAATGCAATTGTCAAATAATATTATTAATATGCTTTTTATTGACTTAAAGTTTTAGTTTTACTGAGATCCATGTTCTTTATGTTGGAAATATTATCACAAGAAACTTGTTAACTTTTTTAAAAGTGATTTAGGGTTTTTTAGAGTTGTATCGCTTGTTATTTTTTTTAAGTCTTCAGGAGTTTTTGTTTTTGACTTTTTTTTGGAAACCAACATTTCTGTTGTAATTATAAACTGTTGTAATTATAAACTGTTGAAAACATTGAAAGATTTCAATAAAAAACTAGAGTTCTTATTGTTGTAATCTTTTAGTTTAAACATTTCCGTAAATTCCTGTGTAGACAAAGGCTGTAGGTTAGCTAAAATGTGCACATTTGTGGATTTTATCTTGCAATATTTTTTAATATTGTTTCTATTTTCAACTTTTAGTTATTAAATTTCATCAGTTTAACTAGCATAATTTAAATTTAAAACTGCATATGAAAGTGACCTTAAAACTGAAAATAAAAATGACAATTTTTAGAAATAAAAAATATTGGTACCAATGAATGAGGGAAGTAACAACAGCTGGTATGAGTCATCAAGGCAAAGGTGTTGTAAAATAGTAGACCAAGGACAAGAGGTATACAGCAATAAAATACAGCATCATATCTTGAAAACAATTTGTAGCAAGGTTCATGTCTCAGACAGTTTCAACAAATACAATCACAATTTGTTGTACATTTCCAATACTGTAGATCTACAGAAAATAATTTTATTATTTATAAAAGTAAACAACTGGTGATTTTTCTACGTAGGGAATCAATTTAAATTTATAATAAAAGTGCAATTTTGTGTCTGGATCAATCTTGGAAATTGTAAATAAAGTTTACTTGTTTTTAAGTTTTTTTTATTTTTTATAAATTTTACACTTTGATTGTCCAATTACCACTTTTTTGACAATTTTATCGTGATAAAATTATGTTGAAAGAATTGTCAATTTATTACCTGTACCTAAGATTTTCTTTTTATAACTATTAGAGTAAAAGTCTACAAATTCGGCAAAATTAAGTGCCGACCGAGAGTGCAGCAGGCAGCGCATTAATTCCTTCCCCAATGGGTTAAAGTTAAAATCCAAATGTTTTCAAACCGGTTGGTTTCTGGTGGATGCCGACATAGTAAGGAGAGGTAAGTTACCCGGCCGCAGCAAACCACTGGACTAAGCAAACTCTCTTTCTAACCAGAAATCGTATCAAAATTCAAAAAACGGTAACTAACAAAACTGAATTAAACAACATATTTAAAACTTTTGATCCTAAAAATATGTCTGCGGATTTGATGAAGTATCAAACTCTGTTGTAAAATATTGTACAGAAGAACTAATTGACTCCCTTTTAGACATCATAAACAGTTTGATTCTAAATCCACATGTACCTGAAAGAAGAAAAAATGTCAAAAACAAACTACAAGCCAATTTCTATACTGCCCACTTTCTCAAAATACATAGAAAAATCATTTTTAACCAGATAATGAACCATTTAAATGAAAATAACCTACTAAACTGAAAAATAAATGGATTTTTACCTCAAAAATCTATAACTTTACTACTACAGCAATTTTTGGTGATTTTATAACAAAAAAACTGGGAATAAAATAACAATGTCATAGGAATCTACCTGGACATAGAAAATGTGTTTGACAGTCTAAATTTTAAAACCCTCATAGCAAACTAAATGCACTCAAAAATGCACAAAAATGGATCAAAAGTTACTTCACAAATAGAAAACAACAAAAAGAAATAGACTACATAAAAACAATAATGAACTAAAACTAAATCAAAATTTAAAGATATGACCCAAGGAATCACACAAGGAAGCATCCTCAGATCCCTCGATTTTTTTCATGTTAGCTAGATGAACAATTTTCCGGAAAACCTTCTCAGGAAAGGACTGAATAAGTTTGCTGATGACACCACAGTACTAATCCCTCAAAATCACCTCTTTATAAACAATGGAGGAATGGAAAATATTCTAAAACATAGAAGAATTTAGCAAAACAATAGAAATCAAAATCAACAACACAAAAACTGTCACAATAGAATTTTCCTGCAAGTCAAACTCCATCAAAAATCCAAAAGAAATATCAAACCCAAACAAATTGCATCATGCTAAATTTCTAGGAATCCAAATAATTTAAAATGGGAACACCATATTGATTTCCTTAAACAAAAGTTATCCACATCAATTTGTGCTATGAGAAGAATAACAAGTCTGACAGACTTTGCTACAACAAAAACTGCCTACCATGCACTTAACTTACAGAATCGCACCTCCGTTTTGGAATTGTCGCCTGGGGCGCAGCAAGTAGGCCTACAGATCTTTCTCAAACAGTTTTTGTACTGTACTTCAAAAAACAAGCAATAAGAACCCTAAATAATTTTCACTATAAAGAAATCTGCAAACCATTCTTTAAAAAAATTTCACATCAACATTTATTAATACCTAGTGGAAGTAGTAGCCCAAGCAATCAAATTGGATCCATCTAATGAAATGAAACCCATAAAATTACAATACCAGAAGGAAAAAATACCTAAATTTACCACAGCGTAGCCTAGAAAGAACTGCAAGAACCAGCACTTTTCCCTCCACACTGAAATATGGTTATGTGGTTCCAATCTTCAAAGCCGGTGATCGTTGCGATGTTACAAATTACAGGCCCATAGTAATCCAGTCCGTCCTCAGTAAAATTTTTGAAGGGCTTATTTTAGACATCGTACAGCCTTTATTTAAACATATCATAATTGATGAGCAGCATGGCTTTACCTCTGGTCGCTCCACTGTGACGAATCTTTTATCTCTCCAGTGTCTGGTGTTGGAAGCCTTTGGACGAAGAAATCAAGTTGACGCCATTTACATTGACTTTAGTAAAGCTTTTTGACAAGATAAATCATAGTCATCTGCTTGCAAAGCTCCAAGGCTATGGGTTCGCTGGAAGGATTCTACAATGGTTTAAGAGCTACCTTACCAATCGACGGCTTGCTGTACGCCTTGGTTCTGAAGTCTCTTCTTTCTTCGCTGCAAGTTCTGGTGTTCCTCAGGGGTCTCATCTTGGACCGTTCTTGTTTTCCATCTTTATTAATGACATTAAGAAGGTCATCAAAGTCCCATTTCTTCTATTTGCGGATGACATTAAGCTACTCGTTGAAGTTGCATCACATCATGACTGCCAGTCCTTACAGGACGCCCTCGATGACGTATTTGGCTAGTGCCTCTCCAATGACATGGCTGTGAATCCCACAAAAACCAAATTGATCACGTTCAGCAGGAAATTAAATACAGTGTTAGCTGACTACTCTCTTGATCGCAACCGGGTTGAGAGATGCAATACCATCAAGGATCTTGGTGTTCTAATTGACTCCTCATTCGAGTTTGGACCCCACATAAACCAAATCTGCACCAGGGCCTCTCGTATGCTCGGTTTGGTATTCCGCTCTGCTAGACATGGTTTGAGCAACCATGCCTGTATTATCCTGTACAAGTCTCTCATCCTGCAGCTACTCGAGTATGCTTCCTTGGTTTGGTCACCATACCATCTTGGCCATATTTACCATCTTCAGTCGGTACAAAGACGCTTCATCAGGTTCCTGGGATGTCGTGCTGGTCTTGACTTTCGTGACGTCCGGGTAGACGAGCTCTCTAATATGTATGACATTCCGAGTCTTGAAAACAGAAGGCGAGTGGCTGATGTGACCTTTCTCTACAAACTGATAAATAACCAAGTCAACTGCCCCTTCTTGCTGGAAAGGATAAACTTCCATGTTCCTTCGAGAATCACGAGACATCAGCGTGTATTTGAACTTGACCATACTGGGACTAACTACGCCAGATCTAGTCCCATTCCCCGGATTATGCGTCTCGGGAATGTGATAAGCAGCTCTGTTGACCTTTTAACTGCCTCCTTGGGAGTGGTTCGGCGTTCTGCGGCTGACAGCATCCTTGAGGGTACCCCATAAAAGCATTGTTGTTGTTGTTCCTTTGTTGTTGATTTTTCTCATGTTAATATTTGTGATCTATTTTGTTTGTATTCTTGTTATTGATATATTCATTGTTATGTTTTGTTATTGTTATATTTTTTATACATTGTTATATTTTTTTATACATTGTTATATTTTTCTTAAATATTGTTTTCAACTCCTCTGTTAATTATTAAATCTTTATACCTAATATTTGTAACTACTTAATGTAAAATGGTGTTTGCCGTTGGTGTTTAATAAATAAAAATAAATAAATAAATAAACAATCCAACTTTGTATAGTAATAGAATGGCTTTAATGGCATAAAGGCGAGCAATTTCGTCCTCTTTGTGTTTCCTCTATGTTTTCTTTCTCTCTGACATATTCTTCTGGTTCCATTTGTCGAGCAAGAACTCACTGCAAACACTGATCTGGACGATGTCATTGAAGAATTTAAACAAATGGTGCCCTTCAACCGACGGATAAATTTGTAGATGTTAGTAAATAAAACTTATTTCTTTCTCACAAAAACTCATTTGTTTTATAAGGATAGTGCCACATAACAACTTTACACATGTTTTTATATGACAAAATAGTTACATATAAATATTAATTATATACGCATAGTTTTGAGAGGAAATACTATGTATTTTTTTTTATCCATGCTTAAAAACAGTGTTTTTGGAGACAGTATTTTCAAACCATTTCCCCGGGCCCCCCGTTGGCTTGGGGGGTATTCCATGCCACCCTAACCCCCTGGAAGGTCTGGCACCCACAATTCCAAGACCCTGCGCACGCCTATGCTCATACACCAGAAAAACAAGAAAATGAAAAAAAGTGTGTAGGCCTAATTATATAGTAGGCCTATAGAAGCCTCCAATGGAATTTTTAATTTTGATAGGCCTTATCTTTGACTAAGGCATAAGGCAAAAAGCATTTACCGTACACGTGGAATCCCAATATAACAAGTTAATCCTCATAGGAAATTTGCAAAAATGTGATTATATGTAGTATAATGCTGCTGTTCTAACACAACCTAACCGAACCAAACTTCTAGAACTCCTTTGATGTCAGAAATAGCATGTCAGGGTGGTCGATCATGCTTTATGCGAACTAGTGACTGTATTAAGTTAAGTCCTTTGAAGGTACTGTAGGTTGGATTAGGTAAGATAATGTTTAGGTTATCGTTTATGTCTCATAAAGACTGTTTTTATACAATTAAAAACCTTATAAAACACTCCAAAACACTATTTCAAAAATACAAGCATAATAATATGATTTATGGTGAAAAGATGACGCCTCCCCCAATCTTTATGTCCGGAGGAGAACAGAAGTAGGTCTAAGCAGTAAGTAAGGTCTTAGTTTTTACCATTTGACAGCGGGCTGCTCGATAGGCCTAATGATGCTTCTTACAGAGCCAAAATAACCCAGATTTAATTTGTTCTAGGTATCAAAAGCGTTAACCTTAACCATTTATGTTATCCTGAGTCAAACATTACCTTTGTAATTTTTAAATTAACGACATTTAATCATTCAAAAACATAATTTATGAGTTATTCAACTCTCAATAATTGAAGAGGCCAATGAATACTGAACTAAGACGATCTTGCTGCACCCATACACTACTTAGTTTAATTAGTGTGCATGGAAGGCAGTTAAACCATTGAATAACTTAAGTAGCCTAATTTTACTTAATATAATAAACTGTAACAAATAAGAAGGTTTCAAATTCATAATAGGCTAGGCCCTATGCCTATAAAACTCCAGAGGGTTGGATCAAATGTGGCTCTATAACTTATAATAACTGGCCAAAAGTTTAATCAATTTAAAAAAAAAACATATTTTTAAGCTGGTTAAATGCTGAGTGGATTTTAAAAATACCGTAAGTACCTAACTTAGCCTTTGGTAATGGGCTTAGAGAACTTTGTAACCTCTTTAACCAGCCCTGTTATTTAAACAAAAGAATTAAATCATCAAACAAATTGGTTATCCAAATAAGTTAGGATAACTCAAACCTCAATGCTCAATTTAATGCCAAAATAATGGGAAGAAATAAATTAAAATGTATCAAGCTACCTAGCATAAAAGAGAGGAAATGTTGGCCCTTTAACCCTGTTTAGTTCATTTTACATTAAGAGCTTACTTTGTTTTGATTTATTCCAAACAACATAGGCTTGGTTATAGGACATTTTATAATAGCTTTACAGCAATATATTTAGAAATTTATGCTAGAAATTACTTATCAGTCTTAACTTAATGTAGGCTAGATTACAGATAGACATAAAAACATTATCACTGGAGGCCATTGTCTGTAATCAGCTGATGATAACTCACTTAGAGAAAATTCTTGATGTTGATAGTTAGATTTGTACCTGACACTATTACTATAATAAAAATCCAAATTTGTAAAAATAATTTGATGTTATACTGAAGATGGACTAAAACAATTAACATAACTTAGCACTAGCAAAACAAATACTTACTGTTAGAAAACTCAATCCACGTGAAATAACTTATATTGTTTCTTTAAAAGGAGCAAAATTCCAAATTTACTTTGAAAAAGAGATTTGTTTTTTGATATATCGGGTTTCCTCTCAAAATGTGAAAAGGGACTGGTATCATGATAACTAATCAACTTCTAATTAATAAAGAGAACCCGTCAGACACATACTATCCTTGAAATTTGACAGAGGCCATCTTGGCTAGATTCTATTGTTTGGTAAAACATATGTTTAGTAAACAGATGTTCATAGTTGCTCATTTGAATATGACGTAGTCACCTCAGGAATTGCGTACAAAGAAAAGAATCAAGCCAAAGAGTAATGTAGTTATCGTGGCATATATGACTATGTAACATGGATAAACATAAACAAATGACGTCACTGGCCCGAATTTCATACTAATAATCGTAACACCTGGTTTAAGGACGATTTTTTTACCGTTCCATTCAAGTATTAGCTGAGCGGAGTTCCTATACTACACTTCTGCTTTTGTTTTATAAATACTCCTCCTAAATGGCTGAAGTGTGAAATTTAGTACAGTCATAGTAACCAACTATGAAAAGATATAGATCTAAAATGGTACAAATCAGACGAAAGGGCTGTTTTGTACGTAAATTTTAACATCGGCCTTACCTTACGGGTTTAATGGTTACAAGGTTGCAATGAAAGTACTAGCAAGATAACAATGAGAAGGTAAACAAATTACGTAGTAACATAATATTATGCTAGGCAACGAATTGTCTATACTAGCACATCCACCTATAAATCCCAAAGTACCCATGAACTTTTGAGAAAACAAAAAGTCACACCCCCATAAACCATATACAGTACTTAAAATGTTCGTCATGACGAGAAACCTTGCACAAAACTATCCATTATTTCATACGACTTTTCAATGAAATGGCAACCATACAAAGTAGGTATTTTAAGCCAAGTATGAATGGAGATGAGTGTAGAATGATTGGTGCGATCTTGTAGTCTTGTTAGTGATTAAGGCCGACTTATTCCTTAGACACATCTGTTAATTAATAGCCCATACAGCTAATGTCAACTAAGGGACCTACAGTTTATAGTGTAAACTTTCCATTTACCTAATGAAAAAAATAAATAAATGCTTTTAATTTTATAGGCCTATATCACCACGTTCAACATTGACGGTACACGAGCTGGAACAGACTCAGATAGGGGGAATTATTTATCCCCACAATATATGGGACTCAAAATTTATAATAAGCTGCCTTCGACGATAAAATAAATTGATTATATATAGAAAAAAAACACTTATGTTACTGTTTCTGGAGAAGGCATTTTATTGACTGGAAGATTTCCTAATGTATTTCTAGGGGGAGCGAGCTGGTCTAGTTGCTAGAGCACGGGACTTTGGTCCAAGAGGTCCCGGGTTAAAATCCCGCCAAATCACCAATGGATTTTATCTAAGTGATAATGCCGCAACCCCTAGGTCTAGCCTCAAGTAATATGTGAAAAACAACCCCGGGCTCTTGCCTAGCGTCATAAGAAAAAAAATGTATGATTATTTTAGTAGGCTATTCTACTAAGACCTTTAATTTTATGTAACTTATATATCAACAGACAAAAAATTATTATATATAGTCTGTCAGCCGTGATGTGGTTACCATTGGTTCTGGCGCACACAGATGGGAGCTGTGTAGTTACGCAGCGATTCTTTGTCTATGGACGTAACTACATGGCTCTCCCAGTGGTGTGCACCAGTACCTATAAATAGCGTCTCGCGCTCCTAGTGAGAAACACGAGAACCTTTTGCAAAGAAGTGGGGGGTGTCGCGTCACCATCGTATTGAAGTAGTTGTGTTAATATACTTCGATGATGGGCGTCACTCTCTTCTCTTGAGGGAACACGTGGGGGAACACCTTTACCACAATGATACGAAGTGACGTCATCGGTGATCATGGTGTCCATGGACATGTACTCGGCTCATTCATTTCCATGGGGTATCCAGATCTTATACCACCGGTGACACTAACTTTTTGTCAAAGATTTTGCTTAGAATGTAAATAACTGTAAATCTTTTTTTCGAATTTGAGGGTTGAGGCATTCATAATTTTATTTTATGAACAGAACTACTTTTTTCGATTAGGAAACATTTATTCAATTTTTATCTTACCCTATATCTTTCTTATATAATCAGCAAGTTTGGTTGGTTAGGTTAAGTTATTGCAGGGGGTAATTAAAAATTAAATCGACGTTACTGTATTTCAAAAATTTAATCTCCCCTCCACGATTACTAGAAAAATACCCCACAATCCCTTTCTCCTTCGCAGAAAAGGTTCTCGTCGCCCGTCGGTTTCTGTCCAGGACCCTGCCGGCCTGCCGGTTTGCCGGCCTGCCTGACCTGAGTCAGGTCTAGAGAGAGAGAGAGAGAGAGAGATACTTTATTACATGAGCGTTAAGCTCAGCAATGGTGTCAAAATTACAATAAAACAATAAACATTTATTTTTGACAAAAGTCAAAGTCTCTTCCACAGAGTGCAATGAACTCGTCGATGGTATAGACAGGGTTCTCGATCATCCAGTGTAGCATCCTCTTCTTAAGGGACATGGAGTTTCCATTCGTAATGGTCGAAGGAAGGAGATTAAAAAGCTTGGCCCCGGCGTATGATGGCTTCCTGGAGTATCTTGAAGTGTCATGTGCAGGTAAGTTGTAGTTTCCAGCATTTCTTGTGTAGTGTGGATGTACATCAGCGTTCCTGAGGAGGTTATTTTGACTGCTTGCATACACAACTACTTCACATATATATAGTGGCAACAGTTGGAATCTTGAGTGCCTTGAAGGTGTTCCTGCAGCTTTCTCTCCACTGAAGATCTCCGAGAACTCTAATGGCTTTTTTCTGCCAGGTGAAAACCCGACTCATATTCTCTTTAGATGAATTCCCCCATAGAACAATTCCATATCTTATATGGGACTCGACCAAAGCGTGGTAGGCCGAACGAGTAGCTTCAGGTGTAGCGACATGGTTGATCCGCCTTAGAGCAAACAGGGAAGAACTGAGTTTGTGACAGAGGAAATCCACATGCATATCCCATCGCAAGTTGTCGTCTAGGATTACGCCAAGGTATTTGGTGAACAGAACTGTTTCAATTTCTGGAGGAGATGACACTTCATTCTTTAGCCTTCCAAAGAAAAGTTTTTGTACTGAGTTGACTGAACAGTGAGAGTGAGAGTGAACCAGGAGTGAACTGACTCCGACTCCGACCGACTCCCGAATCCCGATTCGCGACGCGACACGCGGCCTTTAAACAAGCAGCAGCAGCAGCAGCTTCCTCTAGTTCAACTTTCAACTTTAACGTTTGCTTAATGATTAACTTAAATTAAGTCTAACAACACGCTCACAATCTGATAATTTGTAAGTATATTAACAAAACTTGATGTTATTTTCTTTAAATGCAACTAACTTACTTAACCTATAAATAAATCACTTTTTCATGTGGTAGGTTAAGCTATGCTCCTCAGCATGGAGATACATTAAATTGATGTTGAACTAGACTAGGCCTAGTCTAGGTAATGCCTATAAATGTCCATTCCCACAGATTTCACAGTCTTCAATAAATTAAACAATGATTTAGATGAAAATGAAAATTCCTAACTAGCCAAAGTAAGTACCGGTAGCCTAGGCCTAGCAGCATAGAAAACATTTTACTACCAAACCTAGGCTGGTAATAGCATAGACAAATAGAATAAATATAGCCCGTCAGCTGTGCTGCGGTTAGCATAAGTTCTGGTGTCCACCGCTAGGTTTCCCTTGTAGATACGGCGCACAACGCTGCAGCTTCTGCTGGTCACATACGGCTCCTGCACTCCTTGCCTGTAGCGGTGTGCGCCGTAACTACACGACACTCCTAGCGGTGGGCGCCGGAACCTTCCTTTGACAGCCTATATTTACCGTAGTCTTATTTGTCTATGGTAATAGTAGTATAGGCAGGGCCGTCCAGAGAGGGGGGCAAGCTGACCCGGGTGCCGTGGCTGAGGTGGCGCTGTGCAGCGTCTATTATTGTATTAACATAGTATTGAAACATGTGAATGCAACTATCACTGGGGAGGGGGGGGGAGGCGCCACGACCACGTTTGCTCTGGGCGCTGCCAACCCTAGGGACGGCCCTGAGTATAGGTACAAAATCTATCAATAGGTAGGAAGGCCTAATAGTAGTATGTTTTCTGTGGTAGCAGTTAGAACATATCTCATGAGGAATCAACAACCTCAACTCTTGTCTTAGTAGACAACACTTTCCTTTAAAAATGAGTCACCAAACCATAGCCTGCTCTAATACAAGGCTGCGGACAAAAAGTGGCAACACCGCTGTTCCGTCATACCGAAACAGATGTTGCACTAATTTATAATGGATAGTGTAGGAAATGTTTATGTTTAAGACTTTTGTTAGGCCTACCTAAGTTATTACAAGCTTCTAGGCAGCCAGTGCAACTCCGAGGATCGTGGATCAGAACACCCCCCACCACCGCACCATGTCGTACGCTTCCGAATCATACCGGCGCATCAGCAGCCTAACTGTTAGAGGAAAATTGTTATCTCTATCACTGTCGCTGTCAAAACGTATCGTTTGTAGGTTAAATTTAAATTAAATATTATTAAACTGTCATAACCTAACCAAACTTACTGATAATGAAAAACTCGAATGAAGGTTTACCAATCGAAAAAATAGTTCTGTTCTAAAAATAAAATTATAAATATCTCAAATTCAATTTTATAATTTTTTTATTATAAAATTAAACTGTCATAACCTAACCAAACCAACCAAACTTGCTGATATGAAAAAAATGTTGACAAAATGTTAGTGTCACCAGCGGGATTCGAACCCGGCACCTTCAGATTATTAGCCCGACACGCTAGCCACTACACCACCATGACTCATGACTCAACTCCGTATCGTTGTGTTAATGGTTGACGTCACGCCATCAGCACGGAGTGGTGGTGGGGGGTTTTCCGATCTGATCCACGATCCTCGGAGTTGCACTGGCTGCCTAGACGCTTATTAAGATATTTCATAATGGCCTTGTGTTAGAGGAGACTTTGACCAAACCCATCTAAAATACACCACACGAATATTAAAAAAAAAACTGAGTGATAGGATAGCCTAGCATGATAAAAAAGGCAGCAGGCTCAAAATTATATGACTTGTTTTAGCTAAGGCCATTTTGAGCTTAACCTATTGAGTTATTACTAAAAAAGAAGATAGAATCTGCCCAAATCAAGTTGGAAAAATAGCTAAATTACCTAAGTTAATGTCCATTACAAAAATTTAACATATTTGACATTAAAAAATTGGCTAAATCTGAAAGAAAGATTTCTGACTGCAAGCCAAGTTAAAAATAATTTTTACCTACGACCGTTTTTCAAAGTAGCCATTTCAGTCCAGTTCTTAGAATTGAAAAGTTTCACTTTACAGCTGTTTACTTTCATATCCGCATAGTTTCATTTCATATCCGCATAGTTTTCTCATATCCACACAGGTAACGGACCTATGAGGTTCAAGTATTGAGAGAAAAGAATTAAAATTGTAATGCTTCAAACGTCAACTAATCAGCTGATCAGTTGACCAATTTAATTGTTGATCCGACTTGTTCATGTTGATACTCGCGTATTCTTAATTAAGTTGGTGGAAGTCCAAAATAAATGAAATATTTGCCGAATTGTACCTGATACAATATTATTTATGGTAAGAATGCTGCTAGCAATGTAATATTTAACGAAGTTTAACAAACACGTAATTACAGGAAATCAGCTGATTATACAACAAGTCGTTGCATCACTTTCAGTGGCAATGACAATACACGAAAACATAACCTCTCTAAAAAGTTATCAGTAGTTATTGTTAGTAATTAAATCCAGATTGATAGTAATTAAAAAACGGTCGTAGGTAAAGTAGTGTAGGTACGCAACTCGCGTTAATAGTCTTTACGACACTCGTAGAAGTTTTTAAGGCACTCGCCAAGGCTCATGCCTTAAATTTTCTACTCGTGTCGTAAAGACTCACTTAACGCAATCGTTGCGCAAACTACTATTTTTAATTTGTAGTCAGTTTTTTAATGTAGGCTATATATAACAAATAGAGCATATTATGTACCGTACGGTAACTGAATCAAAGCAATCTTTTGTGAAAATGTCAACTCTATTAAGGTTTTCTTAACCTAGATTTTTTGTGAAGATAAGTTTAAGGCTGAGCTCTACCCGTTTGTCACGCACAAATGCAAGGGTTTTCGTTCTTACTGTTTGTAGCCCCAATTGTGAACCAATTTAAAAGATCTTGGTGTCATATTTTTTGTTAAAAACTATTGTAGGTCCTGCGCTTTTTAAAATTTACCTAGATAAGTTATTTTAAAAAAAATGTTGGGCTAAAAGGTTGGTAATAAGGTTTAAGTTACGCATTTTTATCACAAGTTTTAACACCGACAGACAAATAATTTCTTGATAAAAAATAACAAACGGGAGAAGTGCAATAGATTAAAAAAAACATGAAAACATGATTAAAAACATGAATCTGCAGTTAGTTTACTGAAAGGTTTAAGAATGTAATCACCCAGATTCAAAAGGCTTGCAAGCGCTCTTCATGGCGCTGTTCAGTGCAATGGCTTAGGAACATCGGCGTTAAGCCACATCTTACTTAGAAATCCGAGTTGAGGTTTAAGCATTGATTACTAGGCAAACTTGTTTATGATCTGGGTCGTTCAGTGGTTATAGTGCACGCTTAGTAATCGAAAGGTTGCAACTACAGTTTTGTAACTTCAATGTAGATTTGTAAATATTTGTGTGAAAATGTAATTGACGCGATTATCCAGAGATGGGCTTCAATCAAGGATTTGGTAATTGGTAATGGTAATGGTTGCAGGGTTGATCCTGAGAAATGTGCGTGTAGCTTTTTGATGGTTTGAAACTGCACCCAGCTGTTCTTGACTATTGGGCTTTTAATAAATGTATTAAAAGCCATCTTAGGCATCTAACTCAGTTTCTCTGTTAGCATTTCACTAAGATTTACTTTCTTCAAAAATACAAAAGCCTACTGACTTGCAACAAAAATACTTGGCTGCCTCTTCAGTATTTCTTAGTCAATAATTTAGTCAGTCAATCATTTATTTTCTCGTAACGTTTGACAGGGCCATCAAACGTCATCAGCTGCTAAACTTGTGAAATGGTCATGGATAATTAAAATACATAACAACTATGATTAATTAATAATATGTTCCCTAGCAGTAGATTTTAAAATCGGGACGAAGGGAAATAATACGTATTAGTCGTCCTGAAATCCTGTGGTCTGCTACCTAGTCAGCTAGATGTGTCGCTCGTGTGAACTGGAGGGGCTGAGTCACAGGAGACCGCAGACACTTACTTATTCAGCAATGAACGTGTTTATTATTGAAATCAATAGGAACTTTTTAAAAATAGAAAAATAAGTTACAAAACTGCTTATTAATTGTGCCTATTATAAAGTTAGCATTGTTGTAATTATTACAAGAGGTTCTACCCGCGAATTCACGAGTGAACAGAAGCTACTAAATGAACAGAAGTTATTAAATTAATCTAATCAACTTTGACTTTATATTTAATTTAAAGGTCCAAAGATCAAGAAGTTGTCATCTGGAAGGATGTTAAAAGCAGTGGAACCTTCATACCTTATGTCCTAAGGTTGGCCGAGGTTGTAGCTGAACTCGCCGCTCTCTTTCACAAGGTCTTTAATTCTTTTCAATGAAATTCCGATCTGTTAAAGATCGGTGACAACCTCTTGGAACGAAGAACATACATGGTTTGTTAATCTCATATTCATCGTGTTTCGAACACCTTTAATCACTCGCTTGTGTCAAACAGCTAGAAATAGCTTCATTGTTCATTCGCCGCACCTCTTTTAAGGACATAAAAGTAAATAATAAAATAAGTAAACAAAAATGTAAACAAACAAACTCAATTGCATTGGCCAGCTGTTGTTCACTAAATTAATTGAATAATAACTTCCAAAACATGCAAGGCGTAGCCCTTTGGAAATCAGCCTGTGGGGCAGAGCCCTTAGGGAGTTCATCCATATCAATACTTTTCGGCAAATCTACACACTCTAAGCTTCATTTTGATATGCCATATGCCTATACTTTTATTTGGTAAATCAATGGCCTTAACAGTTTACATAAAATTTGATTGTATCACTTTAATAATATTAAAGTTCAAAAGTTCAGTTGATTCTGAGCCAATAAACTCCAAACGACAATTAATTAACAAACACTTTATTTAGAATCCTGGACTATTTTATTGTAGGCTTGGCTAATCGGACAAATTTTCAGGTGTGACTAATTTCAGGAGAAAAATTATTAACTTTATAATAGGCCTACATTGTTAATAAGCAGTTTTGTAACTTATTTTTGTATTTTTAAAAAGTTCCTATTACATGGATCCGAGTGGCTTTGATATTTTCTTCGAATCAGTGAGAAAAGGCCGTGTCTTTGGAACACTTGTCTTTCGGAATACCACAACAATCAAAATTACTGGAATTCATCAAAACTGTGGCTCTTATAAACTGGTACAACTAAAGAAGTACCTAATAAATATAATGATCATGGTTGAAATAATTAAAAAAATATTTTTTTGGATTTAATTCAATATTTTGTTTGGTTTCCATTAGAAGTTGTTTTATATTTAAAAATAGCTTTCTACTGTATTAAAAGGAAATATGCAATGTTCTAAATTGCATACAAATTTTAAAATTTTACTACAAGTCCAACAATACCAAAAAAATATCAATTGATAAGCGATTGAGAGGTTTCTAAAAATAATTTTAAATTGCCCTATAATCCTCTTAACAATAAGGTTTTTTGAAACTAAACTTTTATGATGGGTTAGCCTCTGGATTGAAAATTGCAATATAAAATGGTTTAAGGTACCGTACCTTTTGCGTCAAACAATCCGTGATGTAGTAGATGACTACAGCTGTTTCGTGCTGCTGGGGCACATCTTCAGGTCGAGCGTCGACAAACTCGTCCACGGATGACAGCTTCATCTTAACGCTCGACCTGAAGATGTGCCCCAGCGGCACGAAACAGCTGTAGTCACTAAAGGCACTAAATGCTCCAATTCATTAAGTTTTAAACCACGTCAAACCCAAATAACATGCATTTGATATAGGAAAATTAGGTTTTTTGTTATTTACGCAAAAACTAAAAGAGATACGAAGTAAGTGTAAATTACAAAGTTGTTATGGATTTAAAAACCTATAAAATGATGTGCCACTTGACATATGTTGCTATTTAAAAATTTTGAACAATGAGCATTCGCAAATTTAAAAAAATATATACCTATATTTTTTTTTTAATTTTTATCATTTCAAATAACCGTTGCTTGTAGCATATCAAAGTAATGCTAATTTCACAATGAGTAAGAAAATCCAACCGGAGAAGCGCTAAATGCATTGGTATAGGAAACAAAGAGTATTAAAAAAAATATAGATTTTTTCAAAAAAACTGACGCCATTTTGAAACGGAAAAAGATATTTAATTTCTGTTTTTGCCAAAATGTTTGTCTATCAAATACCTTTAAAACGATGTATAACATAACATATGTTTACATTTGAAAATCCCGAGATTCGAACTAGTGACCCTCAGTTTTTGGCACACCCTGTATTGGGAAAAAGTTAAAAATATTTTTACATTAAATTCCTTGGGGTCGATTTAGCGGGAAATAATTTTATTTCATCCTTGTACGTTAAGCCGTTTTTCAGTAATCAATTTGAGACACCTCTCGTGAAACACCCTTTTATACAATGTCATTTAGATTATTTTATTTGCTTACCATTTGTTAGTGTTTTATAGAAAAGCAAATAGTGAAATCAGCTGATTTATCGTGCAGGATTGAATAAAGCTGAAAGGAGCTATTTGTTACTGTTGATAGTGGTTAGAGATTGCCCCAACATGGAATTGGCCATGTCACATCATATTACATTGTGACCCCGTGGCTTGTATTCTATCTAACAAGTGATATTTTCTTGGGCGTTGTTTTTAGCGAATTTCCCCTATAGGTAATAAGCTATTACCGTAGTACTCATGGTAAGACCTGGACCCGGGACCGATTTACTTTTTCGTTTTGAGGTCCCTAGAGACCAAAAACACCATCCGTTCAAATTCATATATATATATTTATATATGTGTCCGTTAGCGCGATAACTCGAGCTAAAATCATCCGATTTTGATGAAATTTGGTTCAAACGTGTAAACCTACATTTATTCTACGCGAACCAGCATGATCAGACTATGGGAACAGGGGTTTATGGGAGGTTTTATTGGGTAAAAGTTGGTTTTCCCCATTTTTGACCCTAAAAACTAAAAATTTAGCAATTTCTTTCCAAACCATTTTGTAGAGCTTAAAAAACAAATAATTTAGTATACTGAAGCGTTATTATGCGCCTAATGGTTACGGAGAAAATTCAAAAAATCAGTAAATTTAAAATTTGCATGTTATTCTTATGGAGAGTAAGTAAACTGTTGTAGTTTGCTTGTTTATGAACATATTTTGATCAAATTTGGAAAATGCATGCATACTAAACTATTACATTTTACAAAAAAAAATACCTTTTTACCCTCCCTGTTTCAGCCAACCTAGTACTCGTTAAACTAATGTTATTTAAATAGGGAATAAATGTGATATTTTTAAGGAGACATTTTAGTGTAAATCCAGTCAGGCAAATGGAAATTCGCTTAGTCTGCAGGTTTGCTGTGGCAGGGGTATTTTCATTCATAGGCACCACATTTTTTGTATATAATAATAACTCAGGCACAGATTCAGCCTGATTCAACCCGTAATTTAAAAAAGACTTGTAAATGAAATTTTTAAATTCTGTTACAGAAGACATGGAGAGTGAGGCAACTCTGATGATATTGAGTGATGAAGAACAAGATTCGATTGTAGAAGTTGTTGATGACAGTCTCAATCTAAGTAACGAAGTGAACGAGTGCAGATCACTCCCGTCTGGTCTTCAACAATTGTCTATAGCCGGACCTTCAACTTCAAATCCATCTGAGGGAGTTGTATGGTTTACCGCTGAAAAACAACCAGATTCACAGTCAAAAAGTAAAAGAAATGTCCCGGCAGTTCAAGTGCAGCCGACAAGGGTGGGTTTAAACATCTTCAATTAATAGTAGACTAAGAATACAATAATGGCATACATTGTATTGCAATTTGGACAGTGTGGAAATCAGTTAGGAAAAGAACTATTTTCGCTTGCTTTTAATGATTCGGTCAAATCAGATGTATCATATTGGAATAACTCTTGTGCCATGGACTGTTGGTTCGACCATAATAATGCCGGGCTGTTAAATGCAAGAGCAGTTGTAGTCGATACTGAGAGGAAAGTTATTACAAATAGTATTCAAAGTCAGAAAAGGAATTCCCTTTGGTCTTATGCCAGTGGGAATACGGTGTTTGGCAGTGAGGGAGGGGCAGGTAACAATTTTGCTTTGGGATATTGTGAGAAAGGTCCTCAATTAAAAGATGAAGTGTTGGAAGTGTTTCGTCGCGAGAGTGAGAAGTGCGACAGAGTTGGGGGAGTCATCGGCATTGCAGGTGGTGCAGGTGGCACCGGTTCAGGTGTGGGAACTCACGTGTTAGAATGTGTACGAGACGTTAGCCCACACAAAAATGTTGTCAGCGTTTTGGTGACCCCTTATTCCACGGGGGAAGTAGTCACTCAGAATAACAATCTTCTGTTTACTATATCTAAGCAAAACAATTTTTGTGATGCAATTGTACTTTTCGAAAATGATGTAATAGCAAACTCGAGTAAAAACAGTTTTCAAGGTTGCAGTTTAGGTTTTACTGATTCAAACAAAGTTATTTCTGAATCGATTTTGTCATTTTTGCAACCGATAAAAAATGGATCTGTCGATTTATATAATCTTCTCTCGCAACTCTGCCCTCAGCCAAGTTTCAAACTTTTAACCATCTCAAATTCCCCTTTTCAAAATGAAACAAGATCTAAATTTGAACCGCAGGTTCACTGGAATACCGTTGAAAGGGAAGTTCTAAGAAGTATAAGATCTCGTGTTTCCGTCACCAGTGAAAACTGTGTTAGAACTGTTGCCAATGTAATCATTAACCGTGGTGAGAATGTTCCATCAAAGACAATATCAAAGATAATGTCTGCGTTTTCCTATCCACTGTGGATGCCAGTGAGTCAGAGATGCCTCGTCTACCATCAACCACGACCTTTGCTAGATTTAGAGAAGCGAGTAGCAGTGGTTAGCAATAGTGCCAATATTACTAGCTTGTTGGATAGCTCTATTTCAGGAGCTTGGAAACTGTTCACAAACGATATGTATGTTCACCTTTACTATAAATTCGGCTTTACCAAAGACGATTTTATGAACATGTTTGTCAGTAGTGAAAAAATATTAAAAGCCTACAAAAGTCTTTGATGTTGAAACCTTGTTTGGTAGTTAATTTTGAATATTTTGTTTGCAATTTTTAAAGCAATCTTTTATCTTTGTTACAAAACAACAGGGACATACTATCGAAAGTCTTAAAATTTTGTGATAGTTAAATAAATAGTTATGGATAATGCCTCTTGAATATGCAATGTTCTACAATTTTTATAGTTGCTGGAAGAATAGTGTATCTTTAACTCAGCAAAGTAGTATGAAAGAAGGTATTTACCGGTATTTCAACAAACAACTTCCAAGGATCAAAGTTGTTAATTCTTCATGTGTTAATGTTTTTTAGTGGTAATACTTTGTTGTGTAATCACTGGTGTAATGAGAAATTTACCTGAATAAATATTTGATTTGTAGGGAAGCCAAAGGATTAAAACAGTTCCAAATACGTTTGAGTTCGAAAGTTCCGAAGATAACAGCTACAAATGGTCAGAAAGAGACAAGCGATTGTTTTTGGCTGGATGCCTGGAATGTGGCATCGATGATGTTGACAGTTTAAAACGATATCTGCCTCACAAGAGGGAGCAGGATATTAAACGACAGATAAATATGTGGAAAGCAATTGCTTTAAAAAAAATTAAAAATGAACTTTCATCAGACAACGATAATTTAAATTACGATAAAGAGAAGATTAAGAACCTGGATGAATGGATTGAAAATTTCAGTAAAGATAAAAGTAAAGCAGAAAAAAGCGATATGAATGCTTTTTTAGATTATTTCTTGATAATTGCTGAATATGGAGATCTACCATCAGTGGAGGAATGTGGAGGAGTTGATCCCAGGTAATATTGGTTGTTTATTAGCGAATTTCCCTATAGGGAAGTAGCTATTACCGTAGGTGGCACGGTAAGACCTAGACCCGGGACCGATTTACTTTTTCATTTTGATGTCCCCAGAGGCCAGAAACACCATTCGTTCAAATTTTTATATATGTATATATATATATATATAGACTTATATATATATATATATATATATATATATACGTCCGTGAACGCGATAACTTGAGTAATTTTTGTCCGATTTTGATGAAATTTGGTTTAAAGGTGTAAAGCGGGATAAACTTGAATGAGTTCGCGAACCAGCACGATCGGACCATGGGAACAGGGCTTTACGGGGGGTTTTATGGGGTAAAAATTGGTTTTTCTCACTTTTGACCCTCAAAACACAAAATGTCCCGATTTCTCTTGAAACCTTTTTAAAGAGCTTAAAAAAACAAATAATTTAGTATATCAAAGTATTTTTGTTCGATTATTAGTAACGGAGAAAATTAAAAAAATTGTAAATTTAAAATTCCCATGTTATTCTTATGGAGAATATTGTCAAACGTTGTAGTTTGCTTGTTTATGGATATATTTTGATCAAACTTGGCAAATTTATTTATTTTGTATTAAGCTATCAATATTTTACTCAAAAACACACTTTATTAGTTTCCTTGTAGCAGCAAACCTAGGTACTCGTTAAACCTAATGTTATTAAAATATATTTAACTGAAAATTAATTCAGACAAATGGAAATTCGCTTAGTCGGCAGGTTTGCTGCGGCGGGGGTATTTATATTTATGGAATAAATATGCAAAGTTATTTTTTATAATCTGTAAATTATATTTGTTTAGTCATGTTGATGACCTTTGTGTAAAGCATTAGCACACTTAACTCATTGACGCTGGATTTTTTTTAATAAATACATTTTAGGTTTTGCCTTTTTGTATCTTATACATTTCAACACAATATGTACAGTTTTAACTAAAATTAAAAAATCGGTGTTCTCCCCCTCTATGCTAATGTAAAAAGAAGCAATTCAGTTGTGCAAACCCTGTTTAACTCAATAATTCCGTCAACTTCCACTCAAGCTAAACACAGTTTTATTTAAGGTGGGCTCTCCCCTTCATCTAAGCTACACATTATTAAACTTGTGGATTGCACATGTACAGAACCGGCGCATTTAGAATTACCTCAACACTACACTCATCAGTGCAAGGCGTTAGCCAACTGTTTAGTTAGCATTAGTTAAGGTAGTTTTACCGTACCACTTTTAGTCAAACAGGTCGATTGCTACTTTGCTACTAAGCACACAACGACATTAGCGCTTGCAGGTTAGGTTGATGAACTACTTGAGCGCAAGGGGGTTAGCAGTACAGCTACCTCTCCGCGTAAAGCGATGACACGCTACACACGTGAGCCGTCGTCAATGGGTTAAGTTAGGTCTCCTTTTTGCTCCATAAAGCTAAACAAAAATATAAGGTTCTTGTACAGATTGCCATATGTTTATGTCTGGATTTTCTTTTAATTTCTTCTTCTCCCTCAGTGTTTTAAATGAGACAAAGTGTGCTGTGTTTGTGTTTTGGGTGTTCTATGTTGAAACAGGAGTTCAACAATTTTTCTGTTCAGATTTTGAGAAACCCCTCTTTGTTCAAATTTCTTTGCAGGACATAGCCAGTTTCTCGACTGATCTAGGAGAAGGGGGGAAGGGGATCAAACAGCCCCAGGAACCAGCCTAATGAGAGTTGGGAGGGGGGGTAGCAAGAAGCTAACAGTTTTTTAATAAAACTATACTGTATATAAGTACGGGGTGAAAATGGTAAAACTAGCTTCAAAATTACAAGGCTTTAAAAAGGACCTATAAAAATACCCAGCCTCCCTCTATTCTCTATCTACACCTACAAGTAAAGCCCTCGCCTTGAGTGCAAAGAGATGATGCTACGTAACTGTAATGACGCCAAAGTGTGGTTTCTGAAACAAGAAAGATAAATGCTAATCAAATTTACTTCACATGTTCATATTTATAACTTACCAATATTAATTGCATCCAAAAATTATTTGTAGCATGAAATTTGGTTTTCACCTCACTATGATGGTTTTAGCCGGTTTACCAACGTTTTTTGGAGACCAAAAGCTACGTATTGCTGTCTATGAGGACTGGCATAGCTCTTTTAATTATATTTTCTACTTTTTAGGTGTTTTTTCTTCAAGAAGACTCCGAAATTTTGCATGTGACATTTCAACATTATAACTTTTTTGTGGATATATCTTACCGCTTAGGTGTTTTACATGTTGCAGGGCCATGTACCGGTACCTCTACTGCATGCTGAATGGTATCCCTCCATATGGATTGGACCCAAAAACGGCAAAAGTGATTCAAATGTGTATTAACAATGTTATGAAGATAATTAATAATCCCAAGATTGTTAAGGAAATGGGAGAAAAATTATTAGACCCACTGACCAATCCCGACAAAAACAAGTTTGGCAAGACTTATGGTAAAAAGGTAAGGCCTAATAATCATTTAGCAGATTTTGTGTGAAAATTATTGTTGTGGCCGGTTAGTTTTACTGTTGTTTTAAAAACTCAGCGTATAGTAGGAATATTTTTTTTACTCCATTTTAAAAGACAAATTACATTAGTGAGTCATGTCAAAAGTGCATTAAAATAAAAATAAAACTTAGTTGTCACTGTTGTTGTTATAGGTACATCAAAGTCTAAAATACAGATAAGTTATTAAAAATAATTTGATGTCCAAGCACTGTTACATATTTAAATAGCAACATGTGACAGTGTATACTGTATAGTAAAAACTTCTCACACTACATAGCCTACAGTACGAAACTTTATTCCTTGCTGGAGACAAATCTGGTAGGCCTATATTGACAGTCCAGTTTTTTGAGGTCCAAATTTAAATTATCAACATTTAACTGTTTGAATCGTTGTACCGATAATTAACAAATCTATAGTTAGCAGTTAACCAATCTGTTTTTTTACTAGTAAACAAAATATATAGTGTAAAGCCTCGGAAGAATGTTGTACGTCAAATCATCCTTTATCTTGACGCAGGTTTGTCTCTCAAAAGTAGTTGGACTACTCAAGGGATTCAATCTCTGGCGTCCACAAACATTTGAGACTTTTAAACTGCTTTCCTATAAGTGTTCAGTGTTCCTTGTAAACCCTTTCTTAAAAACGTTCTTGGTTAAAACTTTGGCATGTAGCTTATCAATTTGTCTCTTGTGTACTGTGTTATTAAGACACCTTCCGTTGCTATTCTATCTAAGAATGTAGGATGGCTTACTTGTTAAACCTTGTAAGTCTGAACACTTCAACTTTTCATGAGATGAGAAAAACTTTAATTTTGTTAAATAATTTGGTGTAAAAACAATTATAAATAAAATTCTGTCCTTAAATCTTTTTAAATCACTAAAACCAAGATCCCCTAAAGAAAGGTCTAGTGGTAGGCGCTCTATGGACTTAATCACTCCAAATCACCAATGGATTTTATTAGGGATGGACGAGATTGGATTTTTAGTTCGAGACGAGACGAGACGAGATTTTTTATTTCTCATAAACTTTCGAGACGAGATCGAGACGGGATTTCCCTTCTCATACACAACGGGAAATGCACGTTCAAAATTTTTACCTGATTTTGTAACATTGTTAGATGACTGTTTAAATACAAAAATAATGATAATAGGCAAGAATATTTACAATCTTTTATTAAAAAACATCAGCATAACATTTTTTTGTTTATCACGCCTAACTTATTAAAAATGCCTACGATTAGGAAACATAGTGATATCAGTTAGGATAGAGTTCAACTTATCCTAAAATAAAATAAATCATAAAATAAAAGCAATATTAATTTTTATAAAATAGTTAGGTACTTGTTTTGACTTTTTATAGTAATAAACATTCCTCACAATGCTTACATTTAACAAAACTTCTCAAATGTTATTAAAACATAGTAAAGTAAAGTAGTAAAGTAATATTATTAAAATAATTAAAGTAATATTTACATTTAAAGAATTAATTAAATAAGAACGCCTTCGCAAAGGAAACGCAACTACAACACGCTCCTGTATTGCGGGTATTGCATTGACTTTCTGCAGGCGTTTTAAATTTTTTTTTTTTTTATTCTCGTCTCGATAAAAATCTCGGCCAAAAAGAAATCTCGTCTCGTGTAACGAGATTTAAAATTTCCCGAAATTTCGAGACTTGACCATCCCTAGATTTTATTTAAGTGATATTGCCGCAATCCTAAGGTCTAGCTTGAAATAATGTTAAAAACAATAAAACCCTCGAACCCAGCTTCCTAGGACAAAAAAAAAATATTTCCATCAGGATGGAAACAAGCTAGAATAGAAGTAGATGAAGTAAGGAACACATCACTGGTCTCAGATTTTAACTAGCTCCTTTGGCTCCTACTGATTTGTGATTGATAAATTGTCTACAATTATTTCAATTTAGATGTCTTAAACGATGTAACATAATATATCAATATTACCTACGACCAACTTTACTTACATTTTATTTCAGAGTTATTAAAATGTTAGTAGCCACTTTACTTAACACTAACTAAAACAACGTTTTACCCTTATTTCTTTCTTGTCAAGTTTTGATATTGTTTATTTTTCAGGATAAGGGTGCTGGTGCTGAGGAAAATTTTTTTCTTTCGAGTTCTGTATACAACCCACTCAAGCTTTCAACTAAAGTGCCTATTCCAAATCCAAATGCTACTGGTACTTCAGATGAGGAAGATGCTGATTAAGAATTAAGTGAAAAAGTTCCTCACAAAAAAACTAAATGGACACCTTTAAACGGAAAGGGACCAAGCACCATCGGTCTGGTTTTGAGAAAAAGGGGCTCAAAGTGTTTTGTGGGTCCAAAACTCCTTTACTACCTTACCTTAAGTATTTTATCATTTTTCATATTTATACCTGTGCATTTTTTTCAATTAAAATCAACTGTAACAGCCTGTGTGTGTGGCCTATAGTAACAGCGTGTATTTTTTAAAGTTATAAAAAATAGTGCTTGGTTCCTTTCTAAAGATTTGTTGATTTGTGAATTAATGTTAAAGGACCTAAGTCCATGTTGTCTGTTAATTTTATGGTATTTTTTTAAGTTTAGTAGTTTTATGAGTAAAAAGTAATATTAATAGAAAAATAAACCATAGTACCCTTTTTTAATTATTTTCAATGACTAGTGAAAAGTAATAGTAAAACTCAAGTTGCGACTGAATAAATTGGTATGCTAATATACAAATTTTACTAAACTCAGGGTATATTTTTTAGTGTAACACATTGCTGGTGTGTATGTTAATAATTTGCATGAAAAATTATTTCAAAATTCAAATCTGTGTTGAACCGTACTATTATCGCACACACTGGGATCTTCAAAAAAAGTTTCTGTAAGATGGCTTACCGTACTATCAATTGGCATGAGAATTAGCATAGACTTTTGGGTCCTTCATTTTGGACTGGGAAACTCCTTTCTTATATGGTTGTAGAAGACCCAAGCCATAAGAAAATACCGCTTTAGAACATGGTCTGCTTCTTGAAGCTTTCCTGAAAATGTTGATTTCCTGCCGAGAAAAGTGCTTCTTTTTGCACTTTTGATTTGTTTAGATTTAAACCAATTTATTTTTCATCATTGATATTAGTTTTGCGATTTTTTTGGACTTAACTTTCAGCACTCAGGAAAAATCTTTGGTTGTCACATTGTTTACCATGAATAAATACATTTATTCTCCTGGATGATTTTTATTATCTTGATGCAATCCTCGTCAGTGTAGTTGGATTTAAGAAGGCATCAACATTTCCATGTCATGTTTCAGCAAGACCCTACTTCCTGAGCTTTTTTCAGCTGTACCTTAAACAAAATTTTAAAAGTTAAAGTGACCTTTGTTAATTTTTCCCGAATGAACTCAACATCATAATCTGGCGCTTGTAACGTACAATATTTGTAGGGATTTTTAGTAAAGTACCGTTTTTTGTAGATCAAACGAAAGTGTTCCCTTATTTGCCTCTTCCTCAGCACACCTTAAATCTTTATCAAACTCTTCTCTAACTTTTTCTACCGAAATTAAGTGTTCATCATGTTCCCGACTTTGGTTTTGTTTGATTTCTTCATTAGTAGCACAATCCAATTGAGCTTTAGGATAATCACAGTTTGAATAAGTGTCCATTTTTGTGTGGTTTTCTTCATAGATTAAAGTGTGAATCTTTTGTAGCACGACAATAATGGGATTTGTATTTAGGGATCCTCATGATGTGGTACTTGAACTAACATTTTAGATCTACTTAAAGTACAACTTATAACTCAACAAATAACTCATTATAAGGCTTTTTTATACAGTATAGGGAGCAAATAAACTATCACTGACCACTAATAATACCATAGCCTCATCTAATAACCGCGGTAAAACAATAATGGCTACAACGATGTCTAACTAAAACAGTTGTTGTACTTAAGAAGTTGTAATGGAGGGTATAGGCAATGTTTATGTCTATACTTATGTTGTTTCTGTTATCACCATGGCAATAGGCATGACATTGCTGCCATGGCCTTGTATTAGAGGAGGCAATGATAATTAATATTTATTTAATAGTTGTTTTTTACACTGTCTTGTTAAAGCATAGAGTAAAAAGAACCATATCGTTTGATTCTTTTCTGTTTATTACAGTATATTCGATAAAGCATTTTACTTTTTTCTTGATCTCTTCCTGCTAATTGACACTAGTTCAAGCAGATTTGTATTACTATATAAGATAATGCTCAACAAGTTAGCGCAAATAACTCAATTTAGTCAAAAATAGCGCTTCCAAATGTCTTGTGTTAGACATTTATTTTTATGTATGTATTTTATGAAAGATGATCATGCAAGTACAATTTTCAGTTATGAGTACATTTTTTTTTACTATTCGTAGTTAAGAGAGTTGTAAAATCTCTGTAATAGTTTTGAGATAAACAAGTTTTCATTTTTTATGTTGCCTATATTTATTTCCTTGTTGAATTCAAAGTGAAATTATGTTAAACCTTTGACTGTGGGCACGCTAATATGAAGGAGCCATCAAGTTACCTTGTTGAAGTTGAAGCCAGTTGCAGTTTGTAATTATCGAAGATTATTGAGCCACCAACAGAATGTGGTCCTGTCGAAAATCCAACTTTTCCTTTACATAAATTTAAATTGTAAACTTAATCTTCTAAACAATTCATAAACTGCAAATAACTGACTTTTGGCAGTTTAACACTCAGTGTAAATATATGTTTTCCGCAACTAAAAAAATGTTTTTGGCTATAGCTGGTCATTATTGATAATACTATCATCATTGTCATTATTTGAGAGAGCGATGGACTATTGGATGCATATTTGAAGATGAAAATTAATTTCAGGTGACTGAGTGCAGAATGTAGTAAGATGGTTTTATGTGTCCTTGTTATTGTTTTTTTTTCAGGGCTGGACTAATTTAACAATGTAAATGGTTAATGGTTTGTTAAGAAATTTCATCCTCATTAATTTGACTAGTCTACTTTTCTATCGGCACCTAATTAATTTACACTGAGTTGTTTTTTATCTGTTGATTTAAAAATTCTATATCAGTAATTGGCATAAAGATTGGGGCAAGAGGGACTATTACAAAATTTTTTGACGAATTAAAAAAATATCTTCCATCAAAATTAAAAAAAGAAATAGGTAGTCATAAAAGTGTTAAAAGGATCATGAAAAACCATTCAAAATCATTTATATGGACAACGTTATTAATCTAAAGTTACATATTATTTATATCATAAATTTATTTTTTTTGTTACTACTGTGTCTAATAGGTAAAGTTTATTTAATAAACTCAGTTTTCAAAATAAAAAATAAATAAAACAGAGTGCATGAAAGATTATATTATAATTGGTAGGGTAGCTGAAGCTGAGAGGTCATAGTTTTTTTTACAGTCTAAAAAATGGTGATTCATGCTTGAGAAAAGCAGAAGCTTGCAACTGGGCCCATCAGCCCTGACCCTTGGTCATAGTTAAATAAGGGCTTTTATAAATGGTCTCATAAAGAAATTGTCGATCTTAGTAGTAATGCTAGACAGATCATCTTAGGTTCATGAATCTGTGTCACTGCAGCATTCCTAAGATACCAGCAACAGTATTGGACACATGTAGGCCCTACACTACACTGTCGCTCGGTCACTAAATGCATTGAGTAAAAAAAAATGTGGAGCAAGCTGTCACCCTACGTGCTCCAACCTGAGGCAGCTGGACAGCTCTTTATCCCATCCAGCTGATAGGAACAGAAACTTAACAGAAGAGGCGTCACACAGCCATAGGTTTGGGTATAGCGTCTAGATACTCAGAGCAACGAGTCGGCTCACCGGAGCAAGACAAAATGAGAGCATTCTATTGGCTGAGGGAACACCATTACCGCAACGATATGGATCGGAGCCATCGGCCTCGGTGGTCAAATGGATAGCGTGCCGGGCTGAGAATCTGATGGTACCAGGTTCGAATCCCATCGATGGCACAAACTTTTTGTCTAAGATTATTGCATTATCAGCAAGTTTGGTTAGGTTATGACAGTTTAATTTTTTTATAATTAAAACCTTATAAAATTGAATTTGAGCTATTTATAGTTTTATTTTATGAGCAGAACTTATTTTTTTCGATTAGTAAACATTCATTCAATTTTTTCATTATCAGCAAGTTTGGTTAGGTTATGACAGTTTAATTTTATAATTTAAAAAATTATAAAATTGAATTTGAGGCATTTATAGTTTTATTTTATGAACAGAACTATTTTTTCGATTAGTAAACCTTCATTCAATTTTTTCATTATCAGCATGTTTGGTTAGTTAGGTTAGGTTATGACAGTTTAATTTTTAATTAAAAAATTAATTTTATTTATTTTTTAGTTTTATAATATTTTTTTTTTATTCTAATTTTAAACTCTAATTTTGTCCGTATTAAAAAACTGCAGCTGAAATAAAAATTGTGCAGCCCCGACTGTTGCTCCGGTGAGCCGACTCGTTGCTCTGAGTATCTAGACGCACTAGCGTCTAGACTGCCAGTGCAAGTCCGAGGATCGGACTCAGATCAGGATCGTGGATCAGATCAGTTCGCGGAAAATTGTTATCTGTATCACTGTCGCTGTCAAAACGTATAATTTTTAGATTAAATTTGAATTAAATATAATTAAACTATCATAACCTAACCAAACTTGCTGATAATGATAAACTCGAATGAAGGTTTACTAATCGAAAAATAGCTCTGTTCTAAAAATAAAATTATAAATGTCTCAAATTCAATTTTACAGTCTTTTAATTATAAAATTAAACTGTCATAACCTAACCAAACCAACCAAACTTGCTGATATGAAAAAAATTGTTGACAAAAAGTTAGTGCTCCCGGTGGGACTCGAACCCGGCAACTTCAGATTATCAGCCCGACACGCTATCCACTTCACCACAAAGGCTCATGACTCAGTTCCGTATCGTTGCAGTAATGGTTGACGTCACGCCATCGACTGAGCGGTGGTGGTGGGGGGTGATCCACTGATCTGATCCACGATCCTGATCTGAGTCCGATCCTCGGACTTGCACTGGCAGTCTAGATGCTTATTCTAGACTCTAGTTAGATTGGGGGGGGGGGGGGCATTGCCAAGGCACCACTAGAAAAAAAAACCATTTATTGTTGCTTGGCTACACAAATTATTTTCTTATGTTGGGCCTATGTATGACTATTGACTATGTGAGGCCTATGAACCCTCTATGATATTACATTTGATTATACATATTATCAACATATATAACCATCTTGAAGTTTTCTATAACCGACACTTCATTCTTTTCTTTTTTTAGATTCAATACAATTTACCACCCATTGTGTATTGACAAGATGAAGATAGATAAATGAGGCGTCGAGAGGCCAAGGGAGATATGTGACTTTTTAAAAATAGTTGTCATGGTAACGGGTTTTGTTTTTGGGTTAATTTGGAATTTCAACAAATAATTCACTTATATCCCTTGGCCTCCAAACTAAACACCTAAGAGTTGGAAGCCAAGGGGTATAAGTGAATGTATTTTTATTTTTATATTTTTTTTATGACCATGAAAAAATATAATGACATTTTTTTTAAAGTCACATATCTCCCTTGGCCTCTCGACGCCTCAAATATAAAATAGTCGATCCTTTAATTAACCTACTTATCCACAAATTTTTATATGATGCGTGTATTGAACTATTATTATTTATCAGTGCAGTAGCATTAAAATTACATTTAAATCCAATACTACTAACTGAGAGATTAAATGGGCCAAGCCAAGCCAAGATTTAGAATTACCTGTCTGAAAATCTGGCTTGTCAGACATTTGGACATCGCTGATTGGTTGTTTTAGAATGCCGTGTTTGAATCTGGTTGGTGGAATTCGACCAATATACATCGTCGGATTCAGCCCTAGAAGTAGTAGAAGTTGTTGATCCCGTTTTATCAGAGAAGCGTCGAGAACTCTGTGATCCGGTTCGGAAAAAGATTAATTTATTTAAACTGTTGATTGAGTTGTATTAAATTTTATTGCACGTTGTGTGTAATAGACTTACAAAAATGAGGAGAAGAAATTCTCACTTGTTTCTGTTCATTTTAGCTGTGTGTTTGTCAGTTGGTAAGTAGAATTTTTGTAACATAACCACAAAACATTTCCTAGGCGTCACTGTCTGCCGGAAGAATTTCATATTAACAAGTTTCAGTAAATTGGGAAGCTCACTAACTCGTTATTTTTTAATAAAACTTAATTCTCGATTCATTCAACTTTTCAGAATATTTTTAACACCATGTAGAATTTCATTAAGATTGTTAATTAGCAAGATAACTTAGGCTAGCCTATATTGCTTTATTTTTGCAATTTGACACGTTTTGGTCAGTACAATTCATTGACTAACTTTCTATCAAAAATAGAGTGGCCAAATCTTTCCCAGAAACACCTGGGACCCCTTACTTAAATATTTATCCCCAGGCCTAAAGACCAGTTTATCCAGGTTGCAGAATAGGCTAAGTAAGTTATGTACAGCTGTGATATTCAGTCAATTCAATAGCCTACATAAGGGCCGGTTCAGGCGTTTTATTTAAAGCCGAATTCGGCAAGGAAAATCCAGTGGCGGCGATAAGAGCCCGCAGGCTTCCCCGCAAGTTTGTTCACCGGGCCCCCTCCCAATAATCCTAAAAAATATTATATATAAAATATTATATCACATGTATTACCGCCTAAACTTGCACTTTAGCTTGGTATGGCGTCTCCCGAGGCGTCATAATCTAAGTGATCGCGGCAAAATGACCTATGACATCATAAGATTACAACATTATCGTCTCCCTCGTTCACGGCCCAATCCAATCCCTATATCTCCTGCCCCGCGACCCGTGGTGACGGGGAAATAATTTTTTCCGCAATTGCGGCAAAATCTTAAATATATCTCGCTCGCAGTAAAACGTCAATAACGTCTTCCGCAATCCGGCAAAATATTGAACGTCTCCTGCGGCCGTGGAGACATCGTCATCGTCACCCGCAGGGAAATGTTCTCGTCGATATCCGCGATCACGGCAAAAATGTAGGCCTAATCTTTCAATTTTGAGAACGTGATCCTCGCAGACATAAAAGCTTTAATTTGAATTGGGCATTATTGTACCTACTGAGAAAATCGGCTTGAGCTTGATTTTCTGACTTTGTGCTTGATCTCTCAAGCTTATATACAGGCTCTGCTCGAGTGCTCGGCTCAAAAATCGACACTATATAAAAATCAACAGTTTCCAAAGCAAACCGATTTTGAACCGCTCTGATTTGGCCCGAGGCATATAAGTAGGCTTAAGTAAAATTGTTTACCTGACTCGAAGTAAAAAAATCTAAAGTGCAGCCTC